AAAACCCAAAAAAAACTTTTAATGATATTGTGTGTTCTGTTTAAATTATTAAAAGTACTGGTTCAGACATATTATTTATTGGTCAGTTGTTTAAAAACCTTTATGGATATCTATCTATGTGGTCAGGGTTTTTCATTATTTTGTTCATAGAAGAACTGTGAAACAGATACGTTACTATGATTTAATATTTGTTTCCACTTAGCGGAATACATTTATAATGTTAAGCAAATTCGAGCTACATTGTGTCAATAGAGAAGTATGGAACATCAGTATATTTATTGACCTAAAATGCTTTTATAAGTAACTCATGTATTTGGAATAAACAAGTCTGATTAATAAGTAACATTTTCATCAGCTTAAGTTCACAAGCTATTCTTAGACGTAGATTCTTTTAAAATGCATATTAATGCATAATATTTTGTAATATATACTGGTGCTATAATGCTGAAAGAATGATAATAAATTTCTAAATCGTGTATATTCATGCTAATTATTTCTATCTAGTCTCTGAAAGCAATTGGAAAAATGGTAACGTATCTGTTTTTGTACAAATCTCGAATTCTTGGTAACTTAATTTCAGGAAATATTACAAGTTTTTTGGTGAAATGTTAAAAGAACCAGTATGTGTTCAATGTTATACATAGGTTGTACCAACTAAAAAAGGTGTCTGCATGGGTAACTATTTGCAAATGTCAATTATTCACTATTACTTACAGCCTAATTTGAATGTTTAGTGGAGAATCAATGCTAAGATCCTAAAAAATTCACAAGAACATGCTTTTTCTGTTATGCAAATTGAAATGTACATCCATACCCCAATTGTGACAGTTTTACCACTGCAAATAAATATCTAGATTGAAAAACAGCATTATAATTAGGTTAAAATTGTTTATTACCATTTATCTGAAGTTGAGTTTGTCAAAATTTCTCCAAAATACAGAACTAATTATATTTTAACATTGTATGACAATTTTTATGTGGTACAGTTTATATTTTGTTAACTGATTGAAAAGTGGTTGTGAAATTTTGAAGAACAGGAAAATGGGTCAGTAATGATTTGTCCTCGATTCATAGTAATAATTCAAGTAAAATTTTAAAAAGTTGGTGCATTTATTAGCTGAAATGATAATATTTGCAGAATTGAAAGAGAATTTTTTTTATATATAATTTATAAAGTTATTGTTGAAAAATCTGTTAGCTGATCAGAAAGAGGCAGTACGGGGATATTTATTCTGATATTTTAAAAAATGTATAATACTTGATTTTTATGCCAGTTTGCCCATTTGTTATCCCTTATTTATTGCTACATAACTCATAAAACTTGTGTCATGCCTTTTGTTCATCGATTATTAGTTGGTTCTGGTTAGAATTTCAGACGAGACGTAGAATATGTTCTGTATTTAATCGAGTCAAGATGGAGACAATGTGACGTCATCAAATAGATCACATGTCCAATCTGGGTACTCAGTGACATCATTATATGAAGTCACGTTACTGATCAAGGGTCAAATGACCTTTTTCTATAAATACCCCAGATTTCCCCTTGAACTTTGTCGAAGGGGCCTCCGTAGCCGAGTTGTTAAGGTCGCTGACTTAAGATCACAGGTCCCTCACCGCTGTAGGTTCGATCCTCACTCGGGTTGAAATCTTTCATGTGAGGAATCCATCTAGCTGGCTTACACAGGTGCCCACTCGTGCCTGAAATAATGTCCGGAGGGGCACCTGGGGTCTTCCTCCACCATAAAAAGCTGGAAAAAAAATCGGCGAAAAAATCTCGAAGGGACGCTCTAGGATGGCCCGTCTTGAGTGTACTGTCGCCCATATGGGCTTTCCGGCAGTGACCTTAACTAAACACATTTAAAAAACTTGAGGGTCATGATGGCCCTGAGTCGTTCACCAGAAACAAAATTGAGTCAAAAATGTGACTGTTAACAAGGTTTTTCCAAATTTGGGCGGTGTGACCTAGTGTTTGACCCTAGGTGCTTGACCTAGAAATCATCAAAACAAACTTTCAGACCAATTTCCAGGATATTTGGATCAAAACAGTGGCACTAGAGTGTTAACAAGATTTTTCTATTTTTAGCTCCTGCCACGTAGTTTTTTATCCGAGATGACTCATGTTCCAACTCATCCCAGCAATTACCTAGACAAGCATCCTGACAAGTTTGATAATAATTGAGTCAAAAATGTGACCACCAGAGTGTTAACAAGGTTTTTCCATATTTTGGCAGTGTGACCTAGTTTTTGACCCCAGGTGACCCATATTCAAAGTGTTAGCAAGGTTTTTCTATTTTTAGCTCCTGTGACCTAGTTTTTCATCCGAGATGACCCATGTTCGAACTCATCCTAGCAATTTCCTAGACAAGCATCCTCATAAAGTTTGATGATGATTGAGTCAAAAATGTAACCACTTAAGTATTAACAGTGTTTTTCTATTTTAAGCTTATGTGCCCTAGTTTTTCATCCGAGATGACCCATGTTCTAACTCATCTGAGCTATTACCTAGACAAGTATCCTGACAAAGTTTGATGATGATTGAGGCAAAAATGTGACCGCTAGAGTGTTAACGATGGACAACAGATGACGGACATTCAACGATCCTAAAAGCTCACCCTGAGCTAGCTCAGGTGCGCTAAAAATGTGTACATAGAAGTGTGACGACCTGATTCATGCCTGCCACACATTGTCATGATGCATATTTATACATAGTAATATATAAATACAAAATCATTTAAAAGTCCATCCATAAAAGAAAAAGACATGAGGTTGGGACAGACAGAAACTGATAAAGACAGACTCTACAAATACAATGTGCCTCCAGATTTCAGGCGAGCATAACAATAAAACAAGAGGGCCATGATGGCCCTGGGGTCGCTCACCTGAACATAGGCCCCCAGGGCCGGGCCAGTTTAAACCAAAGGGCTTTTATTTGAACAAACTTGGAAGACACCCATTAGAAGATATTTCATGATGTTAAGTTTTTACTATACACAAATAATGAATAACAATGACTTTTGCCCCCCTCCCCCTCCCCCTGGCAGGGCCAATTTTAACCCAAGGGCTTTTATTTGAACAAACTTGGTAGACACCCCATTAGAACATGTTTCATGCTAAATATCTTAGCTCTAGCTCTTTGGGTTCTTTAAAAGAAGATTTTTAAGTATTTAATTACTATATGCAATATAGGGAAAATCAATGACCCCGAGGGCGGGGCCAATTTTGACCCAAGGGCTTTTATTTGAACAAACTTGGTAAACATCTATTAGAACATGTTTCATGCTAAATATCTCAGCTCTAGCTCTTTCGGTTCTTTAAAAGATGATTTTTAACTTTTTACTCTATGTATATAGGGAAAATCAATGACCCCTGGGAAGGGGCCAATTTTGACCCCAGGGCTTTTATTTGAACACATTTGGTAGACACAACTTAGAACATGTTTCATGCTAAATATCTTAGCTCTAGCTCTTTGGGTTCTTGAAAGGATTTTTTTAAAGTTTTTACTATATGCATATAGGGAAAATCAATGACCCTCTGGGGCTGGGCCAATTTTGACCCCAGGCCTTTTATTTGAACAAACTTGGTAGACACTGATAAGAAGATGTTTCATGCTTAATATCTCAGCTCTAGCTCTTTGGGTTCTTTAAGAGAAGATTTTTTTAAGTTTTTACTATATGCATATAGGGAAAATCAATGACCCCCTTGGGCTGGGCCAATCTTGACCCCAGGGCTTTTATTTGAACAAACTTGGTAGACATCCATTAGAACATGTTTTACGCCAAATATCTAAGCTCTAGCTCTTTCGGTTTTTTAGAAGAAGATTTTTTAAAGATAAGAAGATGTTTCATGCTTAATATCTCAGCTCTAGCTCTTTGGGTTCTTTAAGAGAAGATTTTTTTAAGTTTTTACTATATGCATATAGGGAAAATCAATAACCCCCTGGGGCGGGGCCAATTTTGACCCCAGGGCTTTTATTTGAACAATCTTGGTAGACACTTATTAGAAGATGTTCCATGCTTAATATCTTAGGTCTAGCTCTTTGGGTTCTTGAAAAGAAGATTTTTTAAGTTTTTACTATATGCATAAAGGAAAAATCAATGACCCCCTGGGGCGGGGCCAATTTTGACCCCAGGGCTTTTATTTGAACAATCTTGGTAGACACTTATTAGAAGATGTTTCATGCTTAATATCTAAGGTCTAGCTCTTTGGGTTCTTTAAAAGAAGATTTTTTAAAGTTTTTACTATATGCATATAGGGAAAATCAATGACCCCCTGGGGCCAGGCCAATTTTGACCCCAGGGCTTTTATTTGAACAATCTTGGTAGACACTCACTAGAAGATGTTTCATGCCAAATATCTAAGCTCTAGCTCTTTGGGTTTTCTAGAAGATGTTTAAAGTTTTTTCTTTTGGTTGCCACGGCAACCAGAGTTCTGCACGGAATGGAATTCTTTGAACAACTTTGTTAAGGCTTCACACAAGGAACATCCCTGTGAAGTTTCATTATGATCTGCCTTATGGTTTCAGAGGAGATGTCGTTTGAAAAGTGTGAACCGACAACGGACGACGGACACCGGATGACGGACGAAGAGTGATCCTGAGCATATGCTCAGGTGAGCTAAAAAGAAACTTGGCCTTAAGTTCTCCTCTACATACATATTTTTTTTTACAATTTTTAAAACACCAAATTTGATATCATACATAGATCAGCTAGGGAACTTTAAACAGAAAGATATGTTATACATTATAAAAAAATACAGAATTACATTGAAAATCATTTTTTTGTGTGCTTTTCTTTGACCAATTTCAGTGAAAAACGGTTGCAACAGGTTTCATTTTCAGGATACAAAAACTTAATCTGAAATTTTGCACAAAAGTTATTGGTCTAGACCTACATCAAATGGAATATCAATCTTTAAAACTTATTTCCAGTCCTGTAAAGCCAAAAAACCTCAGTGGAGTCCCTTTAATAATTTGATGTCATAGAGAGAGAAAAAAAACAACAACACTTATTTAGGTAGAACAATTTGATTCAATAACATTTAGTTTTTACAAATTACACAAAATTATATATACATACACAATACATTTTTGACATTATTCAGCAAGCTACAAAAAAAGATCTATCATTTTTAAGATCTTGGAATTGTGGATTTAGTTCAGACGGTACAACAACATCTGTATCAACAATATTACAATATCAAAGGTATAAGTATAGATAACATATTATGTTATACATATTCAATTGACAAATCAAACATACAATATGGTAAAAAGTACTTTTCATTTGTAACTTTTAACGTACCAAAACAGTCACATAGCTGAGGCAATTATGAAAATGTTTAAAGGTAAGCCGTTAATTTATATAAACAATCTGACAGGAATAAGAAACAGAAAATTAACACTTTTCTAACCAATATTTCATTACAACCAAGTGCTTATTTTTGTGCTTATTAACTCACATTTACAAATAAATTTGGCCATATAATGAGGCGTGTGAAGAAAAAAGTCAATTTGTCTTTAAACAGGCATCTATAGTTAAAACTTGAATAGCTCAATAACGGATCAAATTAGTGTTGTTTTGTGAAGGAAAAAGTCAATTTCTCATGAAGTTAAAACTTGTTATCTATGTCTCTGCTATAAGCAAGCAGTGATCTAGTTTTGTATAAAATAGTGACTGCACATACTTTTAAGCCTTTTTCCCAATCAACAAACCAATGAAAATTTCTAATTTAATCTTGAAAATCTCAAATAATTGTCAATGACTGCTTTAAATCTTGTTCAAATGAACATTTCAAAAAGATTTTATGCTTTAAAGTGAAATGGTCACTAATGAAAGGTTTGTTAAACAAAAAATAATTATGTAGAAAGTATTTAGTATAAGATATAACAATTATATATGGATGTTGCTGGCTGGGACATACGATAACGTTATCGTATGTCCCAGTTGCTGCCAAGCTTAAGATATACATGATCCGATGTTACATATATTTATATAGCAGGTAATGAAATGTTCTAGAACAAAATATTATTATTTATCATATAAATGTTCATACTAGAACTTTATCCACATTTTTTTCAAACAATAATTTATTAGAATATCCAAATGATACATTTCTATTGTTTTGATAATTTTTTCAAATATTTATGGAAATGTGCAGATTGTAGACCAATCCACTTATAAACTATTGAATACTGAAATATATAAATAACATGTGCACTATGAATATAAATTGTGTGGCTGTAAATGGTCTGCCAGCATTTTCATATCAACAATTCAACATTATATCATTCCATAAAATTTGACAATACTGAAAATAACATTGTCATCTAGACTGTCATAGAGGAATTTATTGTAGACTGGTTCTAAAGAACATCAGTAGACTGGTCCTACAGTATTTTACAAATCCTGGACTGGTACTCATAAAAACATTGTCAATGATACAGAAAAAAAAATAAAAAAAAAACACTCAAGAAACAAACTGTTGGTGTGTAAAACAAACAAGTTATCGTACACTTCCCTCAACAAAATTCAGACATTTTTAGTAACCAGGCCAACTGTTTATATATAATATCACATAATTATTAACATTTTGTTCTAGTGCTGTGACCATTTTATTGTCTTCAAATCTATTCCTTCTTGAACCATCTCCCATAAAGGACTGAAATACAAAACAACAGGTTAAAATTTAACATTTAATAACAATGTTTATTAAAATATCACATAAAGGATTGAAATACAAAACAATGGGTTAAAAATTAACATTTCATAACAATGTTTATTAAATTATCACACCTTCAGCAGAAGATTTTCAATAAAGACTTAAGACATTTATTCAATTTTAGAGAATATTAGCTTATTATTTTCTTGAAACATGTTGAAAATATTTTATTTATTGCATCATCTTTACTGTTTTGTTAGCAAATAGGTGTGCAACATTCTTCTTGCCAGTGATTTTTCTCACTTAATTGGGAATTGGCCTAAGACTCTGATTTTTGGACAAAATATTGCAATAATTGCTAATTTGGGGAGTAAAAAAGCTGGAGTAAATATTTTGGAACTGTCCTTTAACAAATTTGGGGAAATCACAATGAAAGTATGAAGTTGGTCAGTCAACAGTATAGGGCCAAGTCAGTCTGCACAGACTTTTTTATGACTCGCCTGGCTTGAGGGAAATTTTGAGCCAGGCTCAATATTGGTGGCAAAGGTTAATCGCTCTTGGTTCCAGCAGCTTGAGGGAATCATGTTGAGGAATTAATCATGTTCAAATAAATATAAAGAGGATATTCATGTTTCCTCTGTAAAAACAGCATTGTTTTCATCGAATGGTATAAAAATAAATATTTCATGAGTGGCAGTAGCCATGAGTGAAATATGATAATTTCCAAACCACAAGATGAAAATAAACCCTGTATTTGAAGAAAAATCTTAAATTTTCTGATTATTAACTTTTTTTCTCTTTTTTAACCTTATGAATAGGAAGAATTCACTTTTTAGTTTTTAATTTTGTGTATTGGCAAAATTTAGAAGAAAGTAGTCTGTCAAGACACCAGTGAAAATACGGAAAATATCTTTCACTGCGGTGAAAAATAAATTTTTACAATGAAAATATGGAAAATAAAAAATATGGACTTTATTTCATCAGTATTTCTCACTATTTCATTTATAAGTATATAATATAAATAAGAACCTCATTTCTCTTAATCTGGTCACATGTTCAATACATTTATCAGCTGTGTAGTCTATCTCTGCTTGGGTTGTAAATCTTCCAATACCAAATCTGCAATGTTTTTAAGAGTCAGACAATAAGTTCATGCAATATCCTATAGTTCCTTGCATCAACAAAAAAACCCCAAAAACATTTTAAACAATATTTTATTTTACCCATGATACTCTGCCAGGATTTCATATTAATGTTCCCATTTGTTGTGATTAAGTAAAAAAACATGAATAAATTTGTGTTCGACTTATTTTAAAGCACCACGCATGACTACTCTATATCATGTACATATTTATCTATATTTAATAGCTCCTACACTCTTTTATATAGAAACTATAAAGTAACTAAGTTGCTAACCCTAAGACTATTGGGGCAACTAGATATACTCGTGCGACCAGTGCAGACCAAGATAGTCTGGCACATCTGTTTGTACTGCCTGATCATGGTCTGCACTGTTTCGTATTCAATCAGTTAACATTTTAAAATTTTCAATAAAAAAAATCTATGGTTTTATCCTGATTGAAAGATGGATAAATCCATCAAAGCTATTTAGTGCAATGAAAGTAAAGTAACAATAAAGTAAAGTAACAATAAAGTTTAAACTATCTATTGATGTGTCTCATATCAGTACAGTATCATGAGCTTTTTGTTGAGGCACATATGACAAGTATAGCATACAACTACACCCTTCCCTTGAAATACCTCACCAAAAAAAAACAAAACAATGACAATATTTCAGTTTATTTGTGTATATTTGTAAAGAAAATAAAGAAATCTATTGTAACTACCTTATTGAGGAATGAGCCAAATCTTCGTCAGCTCCGATTGCACGTAAAACATAGGATGGTTCTAGAGATGCTGATGTACAAGCACTGAAAAACATTTATCCGAACATGCTGGTTAGTAAACAATCAACATATATGTAATACAAACTGTTGAAAGCTTTTTAAGATTGAGTCCACCTGCTAGTAGCTCAATACAGAGAACATTAGATTTGTAGACCAGAGGTTACTGGTTTGATCCTGAGACAAGATAAAATTTCTCTGTGACAACTGAAACCAGGCATCAAGTGTAATGGTCATTTGTCTCTAGCTACATCAACTAGTAAGAAATAATTCTCGGATAATAAGTTGATCACTTGGGGAGAAACTGTTAATTACCGGTTAGTTATCCAGTTACTGCGAATTCACTTATATTTGTGTGGTTTTATAAAAACTAGCATTTTCGTGGGTTCTTAAATTTGTGGATTTTCAATTTCTTGTAAAAAAAAATAAAAATAACCTAATGCAAAGTAACCTTACACTTAATCGCCTTGCATTTCACTTACCGCATGTACATATATTTACGTATCACACAGTGCTTGTCAATAAATTTTATCCTAATTGCCTCTCGGCTGAAAAGCGCTCATGCATGTTTGTATTATATAAATATAGAAAAGAGACATGGCAAGAAGTATTTGTTGGGATAAAATTTCGTCGGATCTTAAATTCGTAGATTAACCTACCCACGAAAACCACATAAATTCGTGCCCCACGAATAATAATGATTTTAGACTAAGCTGTTTAACCCAAAAATGTGATAAAATCTGTGTTAACAAAATAATTAAACAATCATGTCTTAACAAGTACCAGTACTGAATGTATAAACAAATACCGTTAAACTCCTAATAAACGCCCCTCCCCTAATAAAAGCCCCCCAGGCTTTTTGATACGGAAAAAATCTGCTCATCAGGTGGTGAACTCTTTCATAAATCCGTAATTTTATTCAAATCCTTCAGAATCCATTTTATTTCATTTAACACAAATATGTATCACATGTACTTAAAAATCTTAACACATTTTAATGTTATAACCAACACTTAGTCTTGTTAACTTTCAATGATTTTTGGAGTTAGGAAAAAACGTGTTGTAATAATAGCCCCCCTTTTGGAAAATGTATAGCTACCGGGGGCGTTTAATAGGAATTTTAAGGTATCATGGTTTTAACTTGTGTGTGTTTTAAAGGGAATAAAGCTATAATTTGTGAATAATTCATTTTAATAAATGTATAACTTTAAGAAAATATACCAGAGCAACAGATAAGCTTTGAACATGAACAAAAAAAGTCTAATAATGAAAGAAAAGTAGAATTATCACCTTCCAGATGAAAGAGCAATGTCTTTTAAAGCCATCAGTAGACTCTCACCTTCCACAAACGCAAATGACAAATTCACACATCCTGAAAAAATCAATAAACTTTACTTTACTAGGACTATCACCAATCTTAAGTTATATATAAGCCATATACTGGCTAGTGGTTACCTAACCACCTAACCAATATTTCTGAACTTGCCTGAGTGCTTACCACTTCTATTACTCTTTAAAGAACTTTCAAACTTATTTCTAAATATACAATGTTTTAATAAGTGAATAAATGGCTTCACATAGAAATATCTTAGATCAAGTTGTCAGAGAAATTTTGACTTTTTAAATTGGGATTGCAAGTCTTTGTACATGCCTTAAACAAGTTATCTCTATTGAACTCTCAGAGTTGGCTAATTTTTCATCTTTCATGACAAAACAATTTACTTAACCTTTAATCTGCTGAATTTCTTAAATGAACTTATTCTGGGAGAGTAAAATGAAAATTTAAAGTTGGTCAGCCAACATTTCAGACTGGTCCGACTGGACGAAAGCGCCTACAGGACTGGCTTTACTTGTCACAAAGAGCTGATAACTTTTGGTTCCATTAGGGTAATTTTGTTTGCTTTGTTTGGGTTTTACGGCATACCAACACAATTTATGTCATAAGGCACCGAAACAAGAAAGATTATTTTAGCTAATCTCGGGTGTTACAAACTTAAAGAACACCATGGGTAAAAGATATCTCATTTGCAGGAATTAAGAGATACATAGACTTCATTATATTTCGAAACCATTTACTCATTTCTTACAATCATGCAGAGATAAACATGGTTGTAATTCTGATTCCTAAACCCTTCAAGACAACCCCATAGTTCCAAGGGGCTATAGCAGGGAGTGGGTAAAGCACTAAATGTAATAATAACAGGTTCAAGCCCTGTCATTTTATTACACTGAAATTGAAATCCCTTAAATCCAACAGTTAAACTAAGGGATGGAATAAAAACGTTTTTTGTCTTAACTGATAATACATGTAGATTCACAATATTTGTTTCTCTGTATAATGGTAACATTTTGAATTATCTCAATGTTTTGCACAAGAGGGTTAATTTATATGAGATGTGGTATTTGACCTTTAAAATTATGGGAGAGAGATATAAAATTGTCAGAGAATAGAGATAAATGAACTTATAAAAGAACTTATCTTAATTAACCCTCACCACCCTAAATATCTTAAATGGACTTGTCTATATTTCAATCTGGACAAAACCATTCATCATTTTAAGGGAAAAATTTCAAAATAAGTACTCACTGAATAGCATTACAGTGGAAAACATGATCACACAGCAGATATGGTTGTATTAAACAGTCATGGATAGACTCTGTTGCCACCAGCAGGCTATGGGTGACTGTATGCTATTGTATGTTCTTAAGTCTATCTAAAATTTAAATTGACTGTATGCTATTGTATGTACTTAACTCCATATAAAATTTGAATTCAATATTAACTTTACCAAATGAAATCTGCTATTATGAAAATATTATAAAGTTTTCGATTTATATATTGTTATAGAATATACATATTTGGTCATTTTATTTTCTCCTCTCACAGAATTCACATTTCTTAACTGTTGAGGTTTTCAATGATTTTCTACAAACATAAAATTTTACTTCATACACGATTTTTGATATAAAGCGGGAAAATATGTTTTGAAGTGTCACTTAGCTGTGTATATATATTTACACAATACATAAGCTAAAGTCATTTACAAACTGTTACATGCCAATCAATGGTAACAAACAACAGAAAACAGATGTCTCTTCCCATACATGTATAAACAGATTGTTAATTAATATTACTTTCCTCTGAAAAAGGCATTACCAATAATATCAAAAGGGAGATTACTCTTGAGACTTTACTGTAACTATTCTAAAATTCTGGTTCCTGGTTCAGAAGCTTCCTGGTTGATTCAGGATGGGGCCAGAATATTTTATGAGTTATAAAAAGCCTCTCATATATAAATAATGGTACATGTAAGGTAAAAATATAGATATATACTTGAAATTCATCTTTCCTTAATATCACTCATTAGGGTCCGATTCCAACCCCAAAATCAATAGAAGTCATCTACTAGTTATGACCAATCAGTATTTGAAGTATGAAGACTTCATGATAAATAGCTTTCAAGATAATTAGTGGAAACCATTTTGACATTTAAGGCCCCTGTGACCTTGACCATTGACCTAGTGACCCCAAAATCAATCTATTAGTAATGACCAATCAATACGTGAAATATGGAGACTTTGTGATAAATAGGTTTCAAGATAGTGAGGGCTAACCATTCTGACATTTTAGGCCCCCGTGACCTTGACCTTGAACTAGTGACCCAAAATCAATACAGGTAATCTACTAGTTAACAAATCCATATCTGAAATATAAAGACTTTGAAGATAATGAGCGCTAACAATTATGACATTTTAGGCCCCTGTGACTTTGCGCTAGTGACCACATAGTCAATAGGGGTCATCTACTAGTTATGACCAATCAGTATTTGAAATATGAAGATTTTGTGATATACAGCTTTCAAAATAATGAGCAAAATCATGTGGTCTACCGACAGACAGATAACTTTCGGTTCTTGGTATTGAACATTCCCATAAATTTCGTTGAATTCCAGCTAGTAGTTGCAGACAAAAAGCGCGGAAACAATTATTGCTAGTTTTGGGACTGACAGACGATGGAGAAGTGATCCCTTTATATCCCCGCTATTCTATAGCAGGCAACACAAAAATATTGTGATTATACCATAAGTGTGTCAATCCTGAGTGAGGCAACACTTTGACATGTCATAAGGTTAATGAGAGTGACAATACTGATGTGTGACAGACTGACTAACATTTTATGGACTAATGAATGCATCAAAGGCTTTAAGAGAGTATAAGGTTCCAAACCTGGGTAAGTCTTTTCTGGATCTCCATTCCGTATAACATGTGGAACTTTTTCTGTAACTCTGTCAATTAACCTCTTAGCAAGAGCTGATATACGTGTATGATCATACTGAAATAGATAGTAATAGATATTTTTACTATTTGTTTGATTAATAAATACAGAATTTAACTTATTTTTGGTCATATTTCTATGGTCATTGAGCCCTATTAAGCTAAGCTGGCCGACAAAAATAGATACAATAAAAATATCAAAATTGATTAAATATAAAGTAATTTATCATAAAATTATAAAAAAATATTATGTAAACCAATTTACTTCATGGTTATAATGTAAAATATAACATAAATAAATAAATAAGTTTTATGACCACAGTAAGACATACTTAAATATTGTGAAAAATATGACGTAAATAAGTGGCTATTGTAAAAACATCACTCAATTTCTTACTTGATATATAGTGACATTATCAACATTTACTATCAACTCAGGGACAATAACTCTTACAATGTAAGGCAATTTATATATTCATTTGCTTTAAGTCACATGGTCACTGTATCAGCCTATTAGCCATCAGGGCAATTTTTTAGCTTTACTGGTGGAGGAAGACCTCAGGTGCTCCTGTTTGTATTACTTAAATAGGAACACCAACGCCTTGTAACCTTGCTAAATTCCTTCTTCACAAGAAAGAATTTATAATTTCTTTTAGAATGCAAACTCACTGCCAAGGTCATTTGCCACTACTCTTAAAATGCATAATTGGAAATTTTTCCCCAGTGAAAATATCACTTTGGACACTAAATTGCTCAAGCCACCCCTCCATTCAAAAAAAGAAATATTGTGTATAAAAACTGAACCCATTCACAGTAAAAATATTTCTTAAAGTTGGCCTATAGTCAAAATATTTAAACGTCCCAGACTACATGACAACAAATATTTCACAGGCCATGATTCCTTCAAGTGATAAACATGACAACAAATATTTCACAGGCCATGTTTCCTTCAAGTGATAAACATGACAGCAAATATTTCAAAGGCCATGTTTCAATCAAGAGATAAACATGACAACAAATATTTCACAGGCCATGTTTCCTTCAAGTGATAAACATGACAACAAATATTTCAAAGGCCTTGTTTATTTCAAGTGATAAACATGACAACAAATATTGCACAGGCTATGTTTCCTTCAAGTGATTGACATGACAACTAATATTTCATTAACCATGTTTCCTTCAATTGATAAACATGACAACAAAGACAACAAATATTGCACAGGCTATGTTTCCTTCTAGTGATGAACATGACAACAAATATTGCCTATGTCATGTTTCCTTCAATTGATAAACATGATAACAAATATTTCACAGGCCATGTTTCCTTCAATTGATAAACATGACAGAAAATATTTCTAGGCCATGTTTCCTTCAATTGATAAACAAGACAGAAAATATTTCTAGGCCATGTTTCCTTCAAGTGATAAACATGACAACAAATATTGCACAGGCCAATTGTATCAATAAAAAGAAAATTTCTTTCTATCATTTCAATATGAGATTTTGACTGAACTTCGATATCAGCTGACCTAGATAATTTGCCATTGTGACCAGCTTTATTGTCCTTTTATGTACAGTATTGTCCTTTTATGTACAGCTATGACATTCAGACCATGTTACAACTTCTTCTTTAATGGATGGTAAGATTATTGAAACAAATTAAGTATGGTATCTCTAGCAAAAAGCTTATCAGTCGCCTACATTTGGAGATTTAAATGTATTTCAGGTTTAATATTTATTCCATCTTAAGATAATACCCTGTTCCCTCTTTATCAAGGAGTTTGCTGTTTATTTTATGAATCACATGCATGCCTCCAGATAAGCCAAAATTTTTCGATAAAAGCAAAAATTGGGAAAAACTAAGATTTTAGAAAAGTAAAAGATTCAAGATTCAAGTAATAATTTACATGTTATTTGCGATTGATGACTGATATTTCAGAATTTATAACTATATTTCTATTGTGTTACGCAGTAATTGTTATTTTTTGCATATTTTTACCTCTTTATGCTAATATACATGGGTTGCAAGTGCCTATGATAATGTGTAAATTGCTTCCTTTTGGTTGCCATTGATAATAGTGATAGGATTTGGGAGGTACATGGTATGCAAGCAAAAGGTGTCTCATAAGTCAAAATGGCTGGCCCTTTCAGTAGGGGTGACACTATAATAAACAAGACCTTTGCCTTTTGCATGCCTCTAGATAAGCCAAAGTATTTCAATAAAAGAAAAATTGGGAAAAATTTACTAAGATTTTAGAAAAATAAAAAAGATTCAAGTAATAATTTACATATTATATGTGATTAATGACTGATATTTCAGAATTTATAACTATATTTCTATTGCGTTACACAGTTAGGGTTATTTTTGCATATTTTTACCTTTTTTTGGTAATTTACGTGGGTTGCAATGCCATTGATAATGTGTAAATTGCTTCCTTTTGGTTATCTCAAAATATTATACATCTAAATACATTTTCAAAATTTCATGACAATTAGAAAGAATCTGGATCGGAATGCTGCTTTAATCTTCTTTTTTCTTATATTAAGTTATATTTACAAAAATTACAGGAAATGACATCATTGATATCAACAAAACAAATTACCAAAACATTGCTGATATTTTCTTTGCATATCTGTTTAATGAAGGAGTAGAGTATTTATCACTAACTGTGAGTGATATTTTATTCAGAAAATAATACAATTATGTTTTTCTTTAAAAAATATGTTTTATTACATTTTATATTATTTAAATAGACAGAATTATACATATAATCAAGCCTTATATCATCATATATTGACAGAATTTTATAAAATCTAAAAGGGACATTAATCAATTAACTCTCATAACAACTGTTAGGAAAAGGAAGTGAGTTATTTCCCTTTCATTTCATTCAAAACCAAAAGAGGAAGTAAAAATAACAAAATTTCCACTTATCTTGTCAACGGAAAAAAACCAGTTTCAATTGATTATTTCTATGAAATACTTATAAATCAAGTAAGTTTAAAACTTTATTTCATGTACACAATTTCACATCTACTTGTCTATAGAATGAATAATGTAAGAAACACAAAAAATACAATATATATCTATATTTAGCTCCATGGTAAGAAAGTAGTTCAGGCAATATTTAAGACAGTGTTTTTAATTTTTGTGTCTCCCTTTTATCAATCTCAAAAAAAGAAAATAATTGTTTAAATCAATTATGTATTTCAATTAATTAGACATTTAACATTATTATGTTTCACATTATAATGTTTATTTACAATATTTTGTTTGTGTAATATAAATCTAAATTTCCACATATCTGGTCAAATGAAAAGAAATATTTTCCCTTCATAATTAATTTTCAAGAAATTTAGATAAAAAATTCATAGTATGTTTATAACTTTATTTTATATCATAAAATTTCTCATCAATATTGGATGAATTATGTAAGAAAGTGTAACATGAATAATTAAATTAGTGTTTTAGTGTCTCTCTTATATGATATATTTTTGCAAATCTGTATAATGTAGGAGTAGAGTATTAATCATTAACTGTTAGTGATACTTCATTCTGAAAATACTATGATTATGGTTTTCTTTAAAAAAAATAAATATGATGTTTAAATACATAATATATTATCTAAATAGACATAATTATCCCCCGCCGATGGAATCGGGAGGGGGATATAGTTTTGGCGTTGTCCGTCCGTCCTTCCATCCGTCCGAATTTCGTTTCCGGAGTAGATCTCTGCAACTACTGGCTGAAATTCAACAAAACTTTATGGGAATCATCAATATCAAGAGATAATGCGCATATCATCGGCTTGTTCCAGTCCGACACTTTAACTCAAAGTTATGGCCCTTGATTAGTTATGCAGTATGCATATAGAGTAAAAATCGTTTCCGCGCTACTTCTTTGCAACTACTGGCTGGAATTCAACGAAACTTTATGGGAACCTTCAATACCAAGAGGACATGCGCATATCATTACCTTGTTATGGTCAGACACTTTAACTCAGAGTTATGGCTCTTGATTAGTTATGCAGTATGCATATAGAGCAAAAATCGTTTCCGCGCTACTTCTCTGCAACTACTGGTTGGAATTCAACAAAACTTTATGGGAACCTTCAATACCAAGGGGAGATGCGCACATTGTCGCCTTGTTATGGTCAGACACTTGAACTCAGAGTTATGGCCCTTGATTAATTATGCAGTATGCATATAGAGCAAAAATCATTTCCGCCCTACTACTCTGCAACTACTGGCTGGAATTCAACGAAACTTCATGGGAACCTTCAATACCAAGAGGACATGCGCATATCATTACCTTGTTTGGGTCAGACACTTTAACTCAGAGTTATGGCTCTTGATTAGTTATGCAGTATGCATTTAGAGCAAAAATCGTTTCCGCGCTACTTCTCTGCAACTACTGGTTGGAATTCAACAAAACTTTATGGGAACCTTCAATACCAAGAGAAGATGCGCATATCATTGCCTTGTTGGGGTCAGACATTTTAACTCAGAGTTATGGCCCTTGATTAGTTATGCAGTATGCATATAGAAAAATATTTGTTTCTGCGCTATTTCTCTGCAACTACTGGCTGGAATTCAATGAAATTTTATTGGAACCTTCAATACCAAGAGGAGATGCGCATATCGTCACCTTGTTCGGGTCAGACAATTTAACTTTGAGTTATGGCCCTTGATAACTTATGCAGTATACAACCAGAGCAATTCTCGTTTTCGTGCTATTTCTCTGTAACTACTGGCTGGAATTCAATGAAACTTTATGGGATACGAAGAGGAGATGTGCATATAGTCGCCTTGTTCCGGTCAGACACATATAACTCAGCTTTATGGCCCTTGATTAGTTATGCAGTATACATACATCTCATTGGCATTTCCAGATATTACTATTTAACGCAGAGTTATGGCTCTGTTAATGCCCTGAATATTTATCAAGTTCAAAGAATATTACTGTTTATGCCATGATAAATATATAAATACGGCCTTATGTCCTCAGTTGTTGTGTTAGTAATAACCAGTACTCGGCGGGGGATATAAATTCAACGAATTTGCTTGTTATACATATAATCAAGCAGGCCTCGACATTAAAGCGTCCGTTGGTTCGAGACCACTTGATTTTGGCAAGGACCACCTAATTTTAAAACCCACTGGTCCATCGGACCACTTGAATTTTCTTGTTGATGCAAGGCTCATTTGGGAGAATGGCGATTTGGTCAAAAACGTGTTATATAATTTTGTTTAAAATCTATGTCCGATGTACATGTATATGGTTCATTAATTTCTGATTAGTTAAAGAAGTTCTTAAGTCATCAATAACTTTCATTTTAAGTCGCTAAAATTTAGTTTATGCAAGTTAAAAGAGTTAAGAATTTGTGATATAAATTTAGGTACAAAATTCATTCAAATGGTGCTAGTAATTATGCATCGTCTTATAACCACGGCGGAACCATTAACATTTATGTTATGTTACATGTTAATCAACTGTGAGTATCTGATGATGGTAATTATATGATATTGGATAAACTTAAATTTCAGATACTTGAATAACGGCAGCAAACGAAAGGAACTGGAAAAAATACATCTAGTAATTCTATGCTATTTATCTTCATTTTAACTGTTTAACGATAAGAGATCTGTTTCTTCTAGAGTTAAAATATTTTAAAAGGTTAAAAATACCCAATGTCAAAAATGAATATCAACCAACAAGCAACAGGGAGGTAAAAATCTGTATTATAAATCTGTGAGAAAAATAAGATAAGTACAGTAAATAATAACGTTGTCATTATTTTAATAATTTAGATATTTCCTTGTTTTCAAAGACAAGAATAAGATAATTTATTAGTTCCATTAAAAATATTAATCTGTAAAAGATGCTATGTTATTAACATACCATGTATCACCAATGAATATTTGAATAACAGTAAGAAAATAACAGACACAAATGGCTTCACTATTCCCTAACTTGAGTTGAGGGAGAAATCACTTGAGTATAAAAGTTAACATAAATAAGAGCTCTGTTGTGTATTTTTGATTGAGATAAAAACAAATAACTCGAAGATAAAATACCTACTGACTTGCTCTCCCTTTTCTGATTAGATGAAAAATACCTATCTAAAAATATTTGTTTTCTTTAAAGGTTAATAATACATCTTTGTCAAAAAGTTTAAACATTTGTTTCTACATTTGCAGTAATATGATATAATAATGATAACTGACCACCTGACTTCTGGAAGGACCACCTAACTTTCTAATCTAGTGGTCAGGTGTACCACCTGATAAAAAATTAGTGTCAAGGCCTGTCAAGCCTTAAATCATCATGTGGATTTTTTTTAAATATATTGACAGAATTTAATAAAATTTAAAAGGGACATTACTCAATTAACTCTTATAATAATTGTTAGGAAAGGAAGTGAGTTATTTCCCTTTAATTTCATTCAAAACCAAAAGAGGATGTAAAAATAGTAAAATTTCCTCTGTTTTTGTCAAACGGAAAAAAAACCCAGTTTTAATTGATTATTTCTCTGAAATACTTATAAATCAAGTAAGTTTAAAACTTTATTTCTTGTACACAATTTCACATCTACTTGTATACAGAATGAATAATGTAAGAAACACAAAAAATACAATATATATCTATATTTAGCTTCATGGTAAGAAAGTAGTTCAGGCAATATTTAAGACAGTGTTTTTAATTTTTGTGTCTCCCTTTTATCAATCACAAAAAAAGAAAATAATTATTTAAATGAATAATGTATTTCAATTTAACAGAAATATACATAATTATGTATATTTATTATCAAGTATTTTTACAATATATTAACAACAGTCGTGTTAGTCATAAGTCATAAATCTAAATTTCCACATATCTGGTCAAATGAAAAGAAATATTTTCCCTTCATAATTAATTTTTAAGAAATTTGAATCCAAAATTTAAAGTAAGTTTTAAACTTCATTTTATATACAATCTTTTTTCATCAATATTGGATGAATTATGTAAGAAAGTGTTTTATGAATAATTGAATTAGTGTTAATTTTAGTGTCTCTCTTATATCGAAATTCTGAGAACAAATATTCAAATTTACGTAATAGAGAAGAAAAAATACCACAACCAAATAAAGAAAAATATGTAATATTCTTGATCAATTGATAACTTTCCAAACTTATTTATCTTATGTTTCACAATGTCCAGATTCAGGGTCTCCTGTTCTATACAGTTCTGGGACATAAAGGAAAAATAAGTAACAAGTAGAAGTATGTGATAAAATTAATTTGACTGCTGAATGAAACAGTTTTCTCTTTTACTAATATATTACAGAATGTTTCAAGAACCTGACGGCAGAGAAAACTTATCATTGATATTATCAGAGGTTTTACATGACATTGGTGTCAATGAAAGAATTGTGATGAGACAGAGAAGAGGACTCTTGCTGAAAGAGAATATGAATAATATCAGTCACAGATTAACTGATCTAAATAAAACATACTATCATCTAGGGAGTCAAAGTGAAGGTACAACTACTATAGGACTTCATTCAGACTTTGATATACTAATGTGTCATCATGTTGCCAATATAATACAAGACTGGTCAGAGTGGGAACATGACAAGTTAAACTACCTCATGATACAGGATGAGAACACTACTCCCGGGTATTGTTTCTTACAACTACTCAGACATGATGAACCTCTTCCTGCAACTGTCATTCCTGATGAACACCATATTACTGATAGAAGAGGAAGAATATTGTATAAAAACACAGTGATAAATGATTTTCTTGAGGGTGCTGATCAGCAGCATGGACCATCTATTGCTGAACAAGGACAACCTGGATTATGTGATAGAGACATGGTGTTAGCTTTACCATTGTAAATCATGGCCTCAATCAGCATCAGGTTGGTTACAAAGACAGGGTATTGGCAGATGGCCAACACAAGAGATGAGAAGATATGCAGCCAGTACTGGATGTTTTGTTGTTCCAACTGGAAGTAAGATCAGTGAATATCCTGAACTGGAATGGAGAATATCTACATCAATGGCAGAAAGATGTATTATGTACAATCTAAATATAACACAAATAAGGTGCTATGTACTATTGAAAATGATTCTTAAGTCCTTCCTTAATCCTCAAGATGAAATCAACATATCAAGTTTCATGTGTAAAACAGTTCTATTACATTGTATAGAAAACACAGAGTCAGGAATATGGAAAGATAACAATTTATATACATGTTTAACATACTGCTTATTGGAATTACACAGTTGTGTACAGAATGACTGTTGTTCACATTTCATTATACCAGAAAATAATTTGATGGCAGGGCAATTTACAGCTGAGACAAAACATGAACTTTCAAAAAATATTTGTGATTTTATACAGAATGATAGACAACGGTTACTTAGTATTGATATTGATGATCTTGGTCATAGACTTCAAGTTAAACTGAACAGGGTACCACATGGAATTAACTATTTTCCTTCTTCTCTTGAAATATATGAAAATGTTATGACGTTGGCATATATAAACATTGCAAAAGACATAAGTAATCAGCATATGTATATTTTAAAACATTTACAAAATAAAAACATTAGAACAATACAGCAATCTGTAAGTAAACTAAAGACATTCAGTGACAATGGTAATAGATTAGAACATGTTGCATTCAAGCTTCTAGCACCTTTTCTTTTTACCACATACGGATCTATCCTAGCATCATCCAGCATTGGTGAAAATAATCAAGTGTCACCTCAAGCATTGGTTTGGTTATCAGCTGGTTTAAACTCAGATATCTCATCTAGCAGACTTAAATTGGCTTCAGTGTTTTACAGTACAGGAGATATGGAGAAAGCTGAACTAATTCTGAGACACACAGAACAACAATATTATTCTTATCCTGTTTTACCTATCTGTAGCTGCCATAAACAGCCCCCAGAAGCAGTAACAGCAGAATTCAAGAGGGTATGTAATGAACAAAGTGAGGACTGTATCAAACATATTACAGCTTTTTGTGTCAGATTTATACAGGGAGAGATCAACTGTGTTCCTCATGAACTACAATATGAAATGTTCAGATCTACACAAGATGACATGATACACAGACATGAGTATAAAGACTGTTGGATGGACTGGGCTGTAGTTGATTCTCTACCTCTCCTGTACTTCCTACAATACAAGATCTATCGTCATCTACAAAGACATCAAGATCAACAACAAGCACTTTGTAAACTTATAAGAACCATAGAAACAGATAAAAACCTCAAACATAGAGAAACAGCTCTAAACATTTTAGGACAATGTATGGAACAAGAAAACAGACCTCAACAAGCATTAAAATGCTACATGCTTTCTCTTCAACAAAGGGCAAGAAACAATGCAGCAAACTTCCATATATGTAAGCTCCTTTCTGGCTTACTGGTTAGCCAATAAAATTGGATCAAAAAAGGAAAGTATGAAGACTTGAGTTTTCAATGATATGATTATCAAACTGATTCAAATAACAAAATAAATGCCTGCCATTACACTTTTTATCACATATTATTTTGAAATACCATTAAAGATGCGAAATTGAAAGAATGATTCCAACTTCATTGACTTGGAATATCTGACTTTACATTTAAGAGTTAAGAGCATCTTGTGTAGAGGACCAGTATTGCTTGTGAAAATGTATTTTAAATTTTGGTTTATAAGGTGAAGTTTTTTCCAAGCTTTTTTAATACAGTAGTCAAAACAGTTTTAGCTAGTCTTCTATTGTTGGCAATATTTATTAAAAGCCTTGTTTTATAAAATGTACCTTGTATATAAAGTCTTGTTCTTATTTTATATTTTGTACCCTGAATACATTTGTGTATCATAAGTCTAGTGCTTATTTATTATATGTACCCTGTATACATCTGTATATAGTCTAGTGCTTATTTTATAAAATGTACCCTGTAAACATTTGTATATAGCCATGTGGTTATTTATTATTCTATGTACCCTGTGTATAAAATGACCCTGTTTAATGCAGTCATCACCACTATTGTCTCAAGTCAATAGGAATAATGAAATGGTCAACTGCAGAATGTACAAAAAAAATACAAGAGGGCTAAAATGGCCCTATATCACTCAACTGATTTCTAGAAAAAGTCACAATTCTTAAATGCTTAAGCAAGTCATAAGGTGGAATCAATTTGGATCAAAGGGGTATGATTAAATCAATCTGTATAGCTAAAGATTTTTTGTTGTTTTTACTATATACATGTGAAGAAAATCAATGACCCCCCCTCCCCCGGGCTGCATGTGAAGAAAATCAATGACCCCCCCTCTCCCGGGCTGGGTCAATTTTGACCCAAAGGCTATAAATTTGTACAAACTTAAAAGAGGTATACTTTAAGTTGAAACAAGCTTGGTAAACACCCACTAGAAGATGTTTTATGCTAAATATCTAAGCTTTATTCCCCTAGGGTTTTTTTTTAGAAGATTTTTGAAGTTTTTTCTTTTGGTTGACATGGCAAAGAGACTTCTGCACGATGGAATTCAATTCTTTGAACAATTTTCAAACTTGACCTCCTAAGGAACGTTAAATGAAATTGGCTTACCAGTCTATGAGGAGATGTTGTTTAAAGTAAAAGATTACAGACATACGATGGCTGAACAAAAAATTGCAATCACAAAAGCACACCTTCTCACTTTCATCAATTTGGACTTGACAGTCAAACAATACAATACGTTTGTTTGGTAGCAAGTCTTCTTTTGATCAAGTTCATTGTATAAATCACATCCATAAATAACAAAATTATGACAATTTGTTAGAAATTCAATAATTTGGCCTTGATAATCAAGGTCATATAAAGCTCAAGTTCAACCTTTTTAGAAAGTCTTCTCCAAAAGGTTGTTTTATCAAAGTATGGAGATAGTCTCTATTAAATACCAAGGTACAGTAAATTACAAGAAAAATCAGTGAAAATTCAATAATTTGACCTTCAAGGTCAAGGTCATAAATGAGCCAAGGTCAATTTGAGTTTGAAATACATTTAGGTTTTATCTTAAAGAATGTTGGATCTTAATATGAAGTCAATCCATTCATTAGTAAGAATGTTGTGACTTAATATGAAGTCAGTCCATTTATAAATAACAAGTTATAGCCAGTTACAGCAAAAAAAAAAATGAAAATTTCAATTATTTGACCTCCAAGATCAAGGTCATTTGTAAGTGAAGGTCAAAACCTGTCTGATGAACTTAAAGGTCTATCCTAAAAGATTGTTGTGTTTAAATTTGAGGACAATTCATTCAAAAATAACAAAGTTATAGCCACTTATAGCAAAAATCAAGCAAAATTTAGACATTTATAAATGAAGGACAAGTTTAGTCTGGTTTACTTAAAGGTTGTTCTCCCAAGGGTTGTTGTGACAATACACTAAGAACTTAAAAAGCTACGATCAAACTTAAATTTTGGGAAACAGCAATTGAAATGCCGACATGACTGTAACAATACATCTTTTTTTATTTGAAAAGAAGTCGACAAAAAATATTATGAAGTGAACAAAGAAAGTTATTTGTATATTTCAAAAACCACTTTCAATCCACATAAATTACCCAAAACAGGTCAAAATATACATAAATAGGATGATGTTCTTTCCCAGTTGAAGTTACGGGGTTTATTCTTTTTGATCTTTGATTTACTAAACTCTATAAGCAACCTATTTCCACCCTATAAGCAACAGTTTGTACAGAATAAACATGAAAAGTTTTCCAATAAAGTCACCGCCAAAGTGCATGCAAATGTACAGACTAACACAATCACAGAATGTTCCCTCTTTGTAAAATATGTAGGAGGAGTTGCACACATATATTTTTATATAAAGAAAAAAATCAAAAAGGGCTAAAATTGCAATCAAAATGATTAAATAACAAACCCTCACAATATGTAACTGGACACTTAGTGACAATGGTTCTATGAAAGTTGGTTAAAATCCCTTGAAAATGTATTAGACAAGGTACACTCAGATTTAGTTTTTGACCAACATTCTTCAATCCAATTACTAGATTTTTCTTTTTGAAAGTCAGAATAAAGAAACATAAAATTCTTGTTATTCATTTTATTGTTGTAACAATAGTAACCAGTTGTAACTACAGTAACCATAACAGGATGAATTCCTGTTAATAATAATACATTACAATAAACAAATTTTGATAAGGGGGTGGGGGTAAAGACAGGTGAGGTGTTGCTTGTTATACCTGCTTCAGGAAAGTAATTTATTATGATTTACAAATGTCTCCTGCTGATTCAAAAGTATTAATAAATACAAAGGATTCTGAACTCTACCCTTTTACATTATATCTTAGTTTTATCATAATGTATAATGTACAATTGAGAATAGCATTGATGAATTAAATTTACCTCCATTTCCTGCATTGAAAGTTCACACGCGGCACCTATACCGACACACAATGGCGTGGGTAATGTGCCACTCCTCATACCATGTTCCTGGCCGCCGCCACTCATTGGTGCTTCAAGACGCACCCTTGGTCTCCTCCGAACATACATGGCTCCAACACCTTTAAATATATATATGATTAAAATAGCATTACCACACCCTGTAATGACAAGCAATTCTAAATTCTAGACTTATAAAGGCCATCCAAATTGCAATAATGAAATTCATACATTAGTTTTGTGAGTGAAATAACATATTCAGAGTGCACTTAGAATTCATTAAGTACATACTTAGGTCTACATAGAAATATTTTTTTTTTAAATAAGACTCCCATTATTGCGTTACTAACTTTGATGCTTATTATCTTAGAAATTTAGTTTTTAATAAAAAATATTTTTATGATACACTTAAAGAAGTGTAGCATTTTTTTCAATCTCAATATCACATAGAAAATATGCTTAAAATTAAAACAAAATTATAAACTAGAAATGTGTCCATGGGACACGGGTGCCCCCACCGCGCCACTGTTCTGTCAATCTTATGACTCTAGAGCAAAAATTTTTTGAAAATTTTTGAAAACTAAAAATCTTTTACTAATGAAAGGGCAAGAACTTTACAAATACTGAATAAATCCACAAGCAAACCCCAAGGTGCATAAGTACAACATAATGAAACGGTTTTTACTAAGTCAAGGGTAATAACTCTACAAATACTGGATAAATCCACAAGCAGTACCCCAGGTGCAAACTTAATATGCTGAACAACCTTACCGTAAGGTTTTATGTCTCTATCTCAAAAACTTTTTGAGTTACATGTGACACAAGTTGAAAATTGCAAGACTTTTCTAAGTCAAGGGCAATAACTCTAAGAATGCTAAATAAATCAAGACAAAAATACCCAGGTGCACAACTACACATGCTGATCAACATTCCTGTAAAGTTTCATGAATCTATGTCAAATCCTTTTTGAGTAACATGTGACACAAGTTAATAATGCAAAATTTTACTAAGTCAAGGGCAATAACTCTAAGAATTCTAAAAATATCCAGACGAAAATACCCAGGTGCAAAACTACACATGCTGATCAACATTCCTGTATAGTTTCATGACTCTAGGTCAAATCCTTTTTGAGTTACATTTGACACAAGTTGAAAATTGCAAAATTTTACTAAGTCAAGGGCAATAATTCTAAAAATATTAAAAATATCCAACAGAAAATACCCAGGTGCACAACTACACATGCTGATCAACATTCCTGTACAGTTTCATGACTCTAGGTCAAATACTTTTTTAGTTACATGCGACAAAAGTTGAAAATTGCAAAATTTTACTAAGTCAAGTCCAATAACTCTAAAAATACTAAAAATATCCAGACGAAAATACCCAGGTGCACAACTACACATGCTGATCAACATTCCTGTAAAGTTTCATGACTCTAGGTCAAATACTTTTTGAGTTACGTGCGACACAAAAGTGAACAGACGGACGCACAGTACAGTAATTATGTGGCTACTTTATTGTTCTCTCTATTGTTCTTTTTAGCCACACAAAAGAAAATATCCACATAAAAGCATTACGGAATGAATGACATCAAAAAGAAAGAACAGTTACCTTTTGTCCCTATAGCCACATAATTACTCTCCAGTGAGTGCCGATGGATGGAAGGACGGACAGACAAGGGTATATCTAAATGCCCGCCACTAAAGTGGGGGCAGAAAAATCTCAGAACAATCAAACTTTTGCAGAACAAATGGAAATTTTGAGAAATTTATCACTAATCCACAATCCCTGTAATTCTTTATATGCAAAGCACAAAAATACGAGGCAAGCCTTAATATTATCTTTGTTTCCCCTCCCATCGCCCCATGTCAGATTGGGTATGGGTAGGTAGGTCGATAAAATGATACAAGATTTCACATGAAGACACCAGAATTTTTAAAAAAAAAAACAAAATTCTTGATATCATATTTTCAGAAAAAATTGTAGTTCAGTCCTTTACAAATTGGATGAGCTATACACATGTAGAATTATTACTCTCACCTTTTGGTCCATATATTTTATGACCACTTATAGACATAAGATCTATATTCATTTTATCAACATCTAGTGGAATCTTGCCGACAGCTTGTGCAGCATCTGTGTGGAAAAATATCTTTTTTGACCTGCACAACTTCCCTACAAGCAGAAAAAAGAGCTGGTTAAACTGGGTAATGCTCCTCGACTAGGTTTTGGACACAGAAAAGTATATCTTTTGTAGTTTCAGAGTTATGTCCCAGACAAAGTTCAAAGTGTGATAATTCCAAACTTAGGCAAGGCAGAGTTACTGTTCTTCACTGCACTTCTACTCAATGAGATTTATCTACCAACTTGCGTGCAACACGTCATCTCAATATGGTGATCATTTCTGTGAAATAGTTGTAAAATCCGACTTCAAATAACAAAGTTATGGGCTGGACACGAATTTTGCTGCAAGGTCATGCTGTGACCTTGACATTCAAGGTAGGGACCCAAATAATGCGCCCGACATATCATCCCTATTTGGTGATCATTCCTGTGAAATAGTTGTAAAATCCAACTTAAAATAACGAAGTTATAGGCTGGACACCATTTTGATTCAACGCCATGCTGTAACCTTGACCTTCAAGGTAGCGACCCAAATGTTGGGCCCTACACATCGTCTCAATATAGTGATCATTTCTGTGAAATAGTTGTAAAATCCGACTTCAACTAAGTTATGAGCCGGACACAAATTTGGGCCGTACGGATACCCTCAATTACTCCCAAGGTGGGGTAAAGTTGACCCCAGGGATATTTATTATTGGTACAAACTATTTTCAATTTCCCATAATATGTCCCATTTTTCAAAACAGGCATATCAAAAGAGCAAGTGTGTAACTATGTTTTACTTTTTTAGATTTACTTTACTGTTTTCTTTATCTTACACCAGTAAAGAAGTGAAAACATTCAAGAAAGAGACTGAAAATTACTACTACATAATGTTATTTAATAACAAAATATCATCGGGCATCAATACTTTTATTATAGATTTAGCAAAGATGGACGTTATTAATTATACTCGCCTTTGAAAGAAATATTATTAAGTACATATTTTCTTGAACAGACCAGCATTGATCCTGACCAGCCTGTGCATTCCTGCAGACTAATCAGGATTTATGATGTCCGCTATCAGTTTCTACATGTAATCAGGTTTGTAAGCAAACAGCATGGATCCTGATTAGTCTGCGCAAATACAAAGCTTGTCTGGATCCATGCTGATGGCACACACACTATTATGCTTTTGATAGGGCGTGACTCTTTAATATTTCACAAGAATTAAAGGGTAAATACTGACCTAGGCGTGGCTCTTTAATATATCACAAGAATTACAGGGTAAATACTGACCTATGTCCTCTACAGGTTGACGTACACCAATTTCGTTGTTGACAGTCATCACTGACACCAGCACAGTATCTGGTCTCATTGCAGCTTCCAGCTCCTAAAATAAAACACACTTGTCACAATATATAATTATGCATCATCCCTAATGCCTATTATGTTGAAATTATCTCCCTTGCCAATCTCCATTGTCCATCACTTAGAAATTATGTCCTTTGTCCACCACTTAGAAATTATGTCCTTTGTCCACCACTTAGAAATTATGTCCTTTGTCCACCATTAGACATTATCTCCATTGCCCATCATTTAGAAATCATCTCCATTGCCCATCATTTAGAAATCATTTCCATTGCCCATCATTTAGAAATCATCTCCATTGCCCATCATTTAGAGATTATTTCCTTTGCTAAATATTATGAGATTTAAACCCTTGCAAAACATTTGAGCTCATCATTTTGAAATTATCTCCCTTGCCCACCATTTTAAAATTATCACCCTTGCCACCCTTTAAGAGCATTATTACCATATAATTTAAACCGTTATTTCTCAAAATAATAAACAACAATAAAAAAAATAAAATTTCATGCAAAGCTAGGCTTAAAGCAAAAAAATAAAATAAAATATGCCTCATTTCTATCCATGCCAATCAAATGAAAAAAATAACAAAGCACTACAGCAATTCACTTTATTAAGTGCCAAAACATTTTGCCACAAGGTACTCTTGCCACCATGGCAACTAGGGTCCTTCCACTGATTTGAACAAGATTATCAATGTACAAGAAGGTTTAACTAGACAACATGTTCATATTATGGTGATATGGTCATACACAGGACTGCATGCATACATTTGGGTAAGTAGGTGGCTACAGGAACAATAGGTAACTGTATTTTTTGACATCATTTATTCTGTAAGCTCTTAGGTTGCTATGTTTTCTCTTATGTGGCTAAAAGAACAATGGGGAGAACAATAGAGGAGCCACCTTGGTATCCAATTGTAAGTATGGACAAATTGACAGTAAATCATCCGAATTGATTTCTTGGAGTACATAGTTAGCACAAACACAGTATCAAAATTGCACGGAAAAAAAAAATTCTTTTATCCCATTACATATCAAACCCAAAAGGCAGGGTTTGATTCCAGGAACTTTTCTCTTACCTGTAAATCGATGAGCCCATTTTTCTGTACAGGCAGGTATGTGATTTCGAAACCTTCACCTTCTAGAGCTCTACATGAATCCAGCACACATTTGTGCTCCTATATTTATAAAAGAAAGTACAATTCGTTATACAACAATTTTCATATATTAAATAATGAATTAATATCTTTTAATGCCACATGTACTATAACTTTTCAGATATTTTTATTCTCTCAATGTTAACAAATTGGAGTAATGAAGAGTACTTATGATAACGATAATTTAATGTGTTAGATAAGAATATTTATTTCATAATGCCATACAAAACTATTTTCAGTTTATTTTTTTCCAGTGCTTACAAATCATTGAAATGGCGTATCAAGTATTTAATCTAATTACACAAAAATGATCATACAAAATAATTATTTTTTAAACCCCCATAATTATGTACTACAAATTCTCAGGTATTTTTTTTTTCTCGATCCTTACAAATTCATTGTAAAATACATTGTAATTCATTTAAATATATACACATACTAAAGTATAATGTTTTAATACCAATTTACTAAATTTTTTTGCAGATGATCACATCCTAACAAAAAAGTCCAATCTTAACCACAAAAGTACATTTTACAAACTATTTATCTATTAATTATTTTTTGATGAAGAAGGAAAAGTTAAATATTACAAAATCACATCTTTAACATAAACTGGACATAATCAGACCAATTTTGCCCTAACACCACCCCCACCCTCTTTAAAAAAAAAGACCATATATAATCATTTTATTTAAGAATATAATACTCCTTTTATGGTTTTTCTTTATAAAATCTAAACAGATAAGTAAGTTATTGACCTTTACAATCTAATGGTATAAAACTCTCGGTAACTATTTCAAAACGTGTCAAAAATCCCTTTAATGGTTAAAATACCCCCATTGCCTTACTTACTGTCTGTGAGGTTATAACATGCTTCTTTTTGCTTTTGTAAAAACGTGCCGTCCCCTTCACTATGATATTATTAGATTCAGTGGCTCCACTGGTGAAGATTACCTCCCTTGGATCAGCTCCTATGCAATCTGCCACTTGCTGCAAAAAGATAACAAGATCAAAATTTCGGTCCTTTTTAGAATACAATATCAAGAAATCTGTCAAGATTTTTCTATTAACACACAGGGAAGGTTTTGTACCATACAAGATTTTAGAGAAAGACTATTTATGAATATTTCATTTTTAAGAAAGGGCATTCAGGTAAAAGAAGATGTTTTTCCAAGTGTTACACATAACTTCATATAATTAAATAACTGTCAACACTAAATCATTTTCTCATCAATACATTGAGCTGCGCCATGACAAAACCAACATAGTGCATATCCGACCAGCGTGGATGCAGATCAGGATCCATGCTGTTCACTTACGAACCCTATTACAAGTAGAGAAACTGATAGCAAACAGTACATATCCTGATTAGACTGCGCGGATGAGCAGGCTGGTCTGGATCCATGCTGGTCTCAAACGCACTAAGTTGGTTTTGTCATGGAGTGGCTCAGTCATAACTTCCATACATACCTTCCTTGCTTTTTCAACAGCAGCCTCCATTTCCCATCCATAAGCATGTGTTCTTGAATGTGGGTTGCCATAGAAACTGACTAAATATGGCAGCATTGCATCAAGTACTCTTGGATCCTTAAAAATATATTGAATAATACATGCCATGACAAATTTATATGAGCCGCGTCATGACAAAACCAACGTAATGCATTTGCAACCAGCATGGATCCAGACCAGCCTGCACATCCGAGCAGTCTGATCAGGAACCATGCTGTTTGCTTACAAACCCTATTACAAGTAGAGAAACTGATAGCCAACAGCATGGATCCTGATTAGACTGCGCGGATGCGCAGGCTGTTCTGGATGCATACTGGTCGCAAACGCACTTCGTTGGTTTTGTCATGACATGGCTCAATTATATTGAATATACATGACAAATTTATATTTTTAAAATATTCTATTGAATTCATATTCATAACACATTCTATACATACATACTTTATCTTCATAACTTATTAGAAATTATTAATTATATCAATTTTACATATAGCAGCTGTAAATAAACCAAGATTAACAAGAGCTGTCTGTAGAACAGCAATCTTGACTATTCTCAATGCTTGATAGTAAAACGAAAGCCTGGATAATGCTGAATTACTTGGTAAGTAAGTAATGGCTAATCAGGCTAATACATTCAGTTTTCCTATCTTCCATGGGGGTCTGAGTACCGGTATGTACATAAAACATCAACTGTAAGTCAAAAAGAGCAATAATTCTGTCAAAATCCATGTTCGAGTTATGGGCCTTGGAAAGTGACCTATCATGATCTGCAATAAGTGTTTGAGTTTTCACCCATGCCATTCAGTAGTTTTGATAAGACCAATTTGCACGCAAAAACCTTACAATGCCTTGGTGACTATGATAAGTCTCCATATTCTTCGAAAAGTCAAGCTTAAAAGATTTAAAAATCATACCAAAAGAACAAAACTTTGAAATTAACAATGTCTGGAATGACAGTTCTATGTTTTATGTACAAATTACAAATAATAATTCAATTCAAATGAACACTTGATAAGAAATTTGCATAACTAATGCTTCCATTTGGTTTCAGTTTTTTAGCTTCATGTTTAATTTCTAAAGTTTTTATATAAAAAAAAATTATGTTTTAGAAAATAAATGGAAGTAATATACTAATAAACTAAAATATACACGGTATCAAAATCTCCCTTTGCTAAAAAAAAATCTTATATAAAACAGATTTTGGACCAGTTAATGTGACCCTGACATTGATCTGAGGAAGCCCAAACCTGTATCTTCCACATTGTCTTAGAACTATTAATATTTCTGCCAAGTAGTTTTAATTTTCTTCAAACAAATTCAAAGATACAGAGCCAACACAAAATTTTGAACTTATTTACAACTTGACTAAGTATGACCTTGACCTGATGAAGCCAAAACCTGCACATCTCAAACTGATTTATAATTCTGCTAAGAAGTTTCAATTTCCTTCCAAATCAGAAATTTTAGCGATAATTTTTTCCAAAATCAAGAGGCTCAGGCCTCTTCGAGAAAAATCACTGGTTATCAGACTGACTGGCAGACTGGCCATGTCCATAACATTATACATCAAAACAAAATTTCAACCATTCATGAAAATAATTAAAAACATACAAGAGGTGTTGTGGACTGAGCATCTAGATAAAGAGGACGTAACTCTTTGTCTGGCATATCCTTTCGAATGTTGGAAACATCTGTCAATTTATGTGGAGGTGAACCTGCAAATATAACTTCTAACAATTTCAACAGTTTACAGATATAATATCATATATTATATCATTTAATACATTTTCAAAGATATATGATCTTGGAATTTATGCTGAATCGCTTCACGGGTTTATGCATCCCCAGGCAAAATTAAGCGTACGTGGAATCCTTGCTCTGAAATATTTGCGTCCAGCTGTAATAAACATGCGTACCGGGACGCCGCCCCCGAGAACCTTGTATGATTTCAAAAACACTATTACAACTTGTCTATACATTCTGAAAGATGGTGAGGAAGAAATGAATTGTGCAACACTGTCCATTTAGCACAGGCCTTAGCAGTATAGAACTATTGAATCCAATATTCCCTAATAAAGTATTAGCAATTGGGAAACAGACAAAAGCCCTACCATCAAAAAAGACAAGGCGGACAAAAGCCTTCCCCTGAAAATGACAGGGCGGATAAAGCTATCCAAAGAAATTAACAAGGTGGTCCGCCTCGTCTCGAGTCACGGTCTGCCCTGGTATGGTCTGCCCTAGGCCATCCTTAAAAAGATGTATATGTTTGCAGTAACGCGACCGACTCACAAAATTTGCCCCTACTCAAATATTTTTTCATGGTCTGGATAAAAAAATTATTTTTTTGGTCTCAGAAAATTATGCCTTGTGCTTTGTTTTCGTTCTTTTAAAGGTTAATAGAAGAAATAAAATGTAGTTCTTATTAAATTAGAATTCAGTTATCCATTTATTAATTGTTACCAGATTATCAAAGCATATATTGTCTTCCAATTGTTTATTTGGGAAGAACAGTTCAAAAAAAAAAAAAAAAAAAAAAATCGACCTTAGTAACCTACCCAGCTTGAAAATTCTGGGACGGGTTACTGCAAACAAACATTTTTTTAAGGATGGCCCTGTCTCACGGTCCGCCCTGTCCGTAATTATTTTGGATGTTGATGCGAGTGGATTCGTCGAACTACTGGTTCATCAAACTGATCTTATATTATAAAACAGGTAGTGGTTTCAGCAACATTTATATAGTGCAAACAATTTAATATCTATTGTATAATTGGCACGCCAATCACACATTTTCATGCAATTAAAGACAAGATTTCGAAAATTTAAACCTATTATTAATTATTATCTTTCATAATATTTAAATAAAAGCATTACACAAAACAAAAGAACAATATCATAATAATATATACACGTATATATCCTAGAGTCATTAGTTTTGACGCCCTTAAGCTGTTTAACTAGTGCATTTCTTTATATTGAACTTGATCATTAAATAATATACAATATAAAGTAACTATGGCATGTTGTTTGTCACTGCAAACCATTTTTATGTTTGTTAAAATTCAAAATCAGTTAAGTTTTGTACTTAAGTAAACAGACTGTGGAGGCATCCATTGTTGTTTACAGTCATATGAAATGACGCCTTTTCATTGGGTGGTTATTTTAAAAGGATATTTCACTGTAATGAAGTATGAACAGCAAAAGAAGTTTTTAAATGAGCAAACCTGCAATGTAACAACATCGTGAAAACTTAAAATTATAATATATTTCATATAAAACTATCCATTATTTAGGAATGTCATACACCCTGGCAGTGGTCTTATTAGGTGCACCTGTCTCTTTAACCTTGAATGTATTTACCATTAATCTTGATGAATAGCATCTGTATTTGGCTTAAAGGGCTGAAAAATATATCTAAAATGAATGATGTTGTAAAGATATGTATATGTTTATTTGAAAAATGATTTTTTTTCTTTCTTTTTTAAACTTTATATACAATAATTAATCCATTATGAATTTTACTCAGTATCAATTAAAAACCAATTAACGTTTTCAAACAATATAAGCTGTACACCTTATGATACAGTGAATATTAAGGACACTTTGCAAAGTTTTGGTCACATGACACTCATTAGACATTTTAAAATGGAGGATAGAAACAGAAAAGGGCAGGTCAAGATTTTTCAAAGGCTATATTTGCAAAATTATGGCTTGCATAAACATCAATTGAATTTGCATTAGTAAAAAGATGAAAAAATACAGTACATATGATAAAGGTGAAGTATTTTCAGTGAAATATCTCTGTCTTTTCACATGTTTTAGTTATACGTTGTAAATACATGCTTGCAGTGCAGTCAGCAAATTATGACGTCATACGAGGTCGTTTTCGTCATTTTTTAGGTCAAAACAAAAATGGCGTCAAAATAGATGAGCGTCAAAACACATGACCCGACGATAGATAAAACCTGAAAAAAGAATAATAATTTAAAATTTGTAACAAAAAATTCATGATAAAAACACTTTATATATATGAACCGTGTTTAATCTGTCTTTATTTACTTTATAACATGAGAACGAAGAAACCACTTTCGCACCTCTTCATAAATTAAGTTCGCCGAACCGGTAGTTCGACGTCGAATGTCAGACGTTTCACTCCCAAGACGTTTCACTATTGAGACGTTTCACTCCCAAGACGGTTCACACCTAGACGTTTCACTCCCATTTTGTCAATTGTATGGACGTTTCACTCCCAATTTTTAAGAGATGTTTACTAGGAAACACTAAATTTAAATTTCATTAATATAAAACAGTGTATGAAGGAAATTCAATTGAATGTTTCATTTTGTGATTTCAATGGTATTGTAAATTCGAAGATTACTCATTTGATTATGGGTTGAGTGATTAGAGGTGTAAATGAAAGACAAATTTCTGAAGTATCACTTTTATTATAAGTGTAACAACCTGAGAAAATTCTGTTTATAGTAAATAAAAAAAATAATAGAATAACATAGAAAGAACAACAAAGACATATTATAAGTATCAATTTAAATATTGAAATCAATAACAGTAAAGTATCTGATATTATTCAAATAATAAAAAATATCAATATATTAAATATATTATATAATGATTATTTTCATTATAATGATTATTTTTTTGTAAGTCTTAAACAATGAAATGCGAAACATGTGTATAAAATAAATTATTTTTTAAATTTATTTTCTTCAACAATTTATTAAACAGTAGCCATTAAACAAATTTAAGTAATTGTGGTGTTATCTCATCGCCTAATAAGTTGAATAAACACTTAGGCAATCAACTAACAGTTTGACACCACTATTAAATCAGTTGTATAAACACTGCACTTAAAGCATCAACAGTTTACTAATCAGTGGTTTATTGGACCATTTAAATATTTTTTGAAAACAGCCAATTTAAACAATGTAACTTCTCCATAAGTTTTGTTTATATAATAATGAATTTTAATCACAAAAATGATTATACATGACAAATATTGAAAAAAGTCCCAATGCTTCTAATTTAATTTAAAGATATTTCTGATCAAAATTTTGACATATATATCACAAAAGCACTATATATACTTAAGCATTAAATAATTTAATGCCATATATAAATATTTATGTATATTTTTATTTTTTTTTATTTCATAATCTATTTTAATGTCCCCCTGAAAAAAATCATACTTAGTTCTAAGTTAAACCTACATACTGTTTGAAACTTTTATTGATTATATGTCATGTTGTTACTATTGTAAACTGACTGGAAAATAAAAGTGATTGTTGTTAAAAAAAAAAAAAAAAAATTATATTTTTTTAACCCATGTTTAAAATTAACAACAAAAAACACTTTTCTCAAAGTTAATTGCTGTCACAAGATTGTTATGCTTTAAATAAATTAAAATTGCCTACTGAGTCCATGTTTATAAAAGATCAATTAGTTAGTTATATTAAAGTATTAATTTAATCAAAAATGTTTTTTCATTAAGTGAAATAATGTGATAATTGCACATATGGATCAAAGTATAGGAAAAAACCTTATTTCAAAACAACAATAAAGAAGATAAGATAACTGAAATGATAGAACTTAAAGTACTGAGTTTAAAGTCATAGACAAAAAAGTGAAATCCCCCTTTTTATTTATTTTTATTAAATTTAAGGTCTACTTTTGTTCAATTCAATATAGTTCAATATTTTAGGTCAATTTTAGTATATCATAAGTATCAAAATAATTTTGGTATAAAAAGGGAGTGAAACGTCTTCAAGACGTTTCACTCCCATTTGGGAGTGAAACGTCTTGGTGTGAACCGTCTTAGTCTTTCATATTTAAATTATATATAAGAATGTATGTTTTTTAGTATTTTTATTTATTTATTTATTTAAATAATTCATTAAATTTTTAATTGTTTTACTCGGTATATTATGAACTTTAAGTAAATTTTTAGATACTAGACTTTGCTAGTGATGTAGATTTGGGTAAACTATCATTTTTTAGTTTTTTAGCATATGATTCGTTTTTATAAATATATCCTGAAAGGTCTATTTTATGCATGTGATGTATATTTAACATGTCTAATCATTTTTTATTGTAGCTGTTTTATATTTGTTGATCTTATACTTTATGTTATTTACAGTCGGTTATAAAAGCTCCTAGAGCTTATGTTGTATTGTTGAAAACTTGCCGACTTGAAATAAAACTTATCTTATCTTATCTTATCTTAACTGTCTCAATAGTGAAACGTCTGTCTACCTTCGACGTCAGTGATTTTAAGGTACCCCACCCACTAGATCATACAGATTAATGATCTGAAATAAATTATCTGATATATACCATCTGAACTTTCATTTTGAGTGTGAGTTTGGATTTGCATCATGCGGACATAGTAAGGACTCGATCTTAAACCAAAGGCACGACTGCCACTTCTGCAAATAGTAGAAAACATCGTGTATTTCGTTATGAAATAAGCGAAACGTAAAACAAGGGTTAACGCCGAAGAAACACGAATGAAAAGTTTATCATTGGTTTCGAATTTCCTTAATTTTCATTTGCTGTACATATGACAAAGACTCTCAATCAATCAATGTTACTTGTACGATTTTTTTTTCAACTTATTATCTAATTTAGCTGTCGCGAGTAGATTTATTTTACCAATCTTGGATTATCGAAACTACTGCTACTAACATTCAGCATAAAATGTCAGCCTCCACTGATGTGATATGAATGTCAAATTTATCTTCTCAAAAACGAATTGATTATGGAGAAAATATCATTGATGGCCACGTAGAATTATAGAAGATACAACTATGGCCCTACTTAAGGCTTTTTCAAGGCGAATGCACATCCTTAAATACCCTGTCAATCTTGGGAAAGATGCCGGGAAAAGACAAATTGTACAGAACAGATATTTTACATTTGACAATTACCCTAGGTTATCTAGACAACAAGTGACTTTCTACTTAAGATATCATGAGTACAACAGTGAAGATTTGAATGATGGTGCAGTAAAAAACTTTATGACAAACAAATTAGCCGCAAACCAACCAATTGAAGACCGTGCTGCTCAAGTGAGACTTAGATTAAATGAATCTGATAGTAAACCTGGGCAGTACATGTTTTGGGAAAAATTTTGAACGGACAATGGCAGTTGTGCTTTGTTGCTCAAAGTTCTTAGTGAAAGATTTGGGTTTGTTATTATAGCCGTTCTTTGGCAAACCTTATGAAGGATTTTGGACAAGAATACTATGCAAATGAATTGAAAACCCTTTGCAATGATCTAAATACAAAGGTTTTACTCATAAAGACAACTATCAACCAGTTCAGAATATGAATGGAACTGTAAATAGAAGGTTTTGCCGAAGCTTTTCCCAGTCAGAAAATGTTGCCAACTCCAATTGATGACAATACTGTAAGAAGAAAATCTCAAATAGCCAGCTTCTCAATGAAAAGGTTGGATCACGGAACATTTTTATCTTTGGATGCAAATGCCCGACAAATGCCTTAAACAAATCACTTATGTTTTGGAAAAATATACTAGCTTTAAATGCAAAGGATCTTGTTGCAACAGTTGCTTAATATAATAAATGAGACCGACCCCTTTAATGTAGCAAATGGCTGGAGATTGTAAAGCTGTTCTTGGACAGCAAGTAGAAAGTGAAACATTTGTTGCTAAAAACTTGTCCAGAGAACATTGTGCAGAAAATTTGGACGAAGTAGAAAGGTTAAACAATCAGCATCCTAACGAGCAAAATATCATCCTAAGGAATGGAAGGCTTCTTGGAGATCTTGCACCTCTTAGAGCATTTGGCGATGCTCGGTACAAGTGGCCTGCAAGAGTTATGAAACATGTATTGAATGTTGCAAATCCAAATGTGATAAGTATATATGGGGAAAATTTAATACCAACTAATTACAAAAGCCCACCTTACCTCACAGCCGAACCTGAAGTGATTCATCATTCTCTTAAACCAAATGACAAGTTTTTAATTCTCGCAACAGATGGTTTATGGGAACATCTAGATGAGCAACAAGTTGTGGATCTTGTAGCAGCTCACATGGATGAACGTCAAATTTTGACTGAATTTGTCTTGCCAAGAAACGATATAACACTGAGAGAAGTTAATGAAATTTTGAAAGTGAGAAAACGTAAGCTAGCAAAGAAACCTGAAGATGAAAATGTAGCTACGCATTTACTTAGGATGGCACTTGGTCCAGCTCATGGACAAATTTCTCAATATCTGACATTGCCAGAGTCTGTTGTGCGAGCTTACAGAGATGATATCACTATCACTGTGATATATTTTGACACAGATTATTTAGTAAAAAGGATCTCATAGATCTGTGTTTTTGATAAAGAAATATTGTAGAGTTTACCTTAATTCAATTATTAATATCTAACTGATAATACTCAAAATTAACAACAAGGGAAGCAAGAAAACATGCATATTAGCCTTAAACTTTATAAGTTTAAAAGTGTTATAATGTTTACATAAATGATAAATGTTATTTTTTGCAAAATCTCTTATATTTATTAAGTGCTCATCATTATTGTTTTATCTGATCTGTTTGTGTAACTTACTCAGGTAAGCACAAGCAAGGGCTTGCTTAGAAGTGACCACTATGATTTTAAATTTGAAAACCCAGCCTCATATATTTCAAGTAGAGTTTAAATTTATACATTGTCCCTAACAGAATAAGTTGTATTTGATTTTCTTAATTTTCACAATGTTCTTTTATAATGAAAACAATAGTAAATTATCAACAACAAAAAAAAAATAGAAGAATAAAAAGTTAATGCATAAGAATTTGAACTATAAAGAAAAAGGCATTAAGAATTTTACTCTCAGGCACTAAAGAGAAGAGAACAGCATGAAGAATTAGTAAAAGCTTAAAATTTCAATTGAAAGCGATAGATACAATGAAATTTAATAGTTATTCAAGAAATGGTTTTGTTTTGTTTGATAGTTTGTAACACTTGTAAGCATATCTTATGACTTTGATTTTTACAATGCACCACCAGTATTCCTCCAATTATCAGGTTGTTGTTTACCAAGCTAGCATAAAAAATTTTAGACATTTTTATAATTGTCGGTTATCCGCGGTATATATTCCATATATGTGATGACGATGAAATTTTATGTACATGTACTACATGTCAGTAAATCTGATTTTCATTGAACTATCAATGTATTAATATTACCTACATACAAGGTTGCTGTAAATTTATGAATTGATTTTGCTGTACTTTAAAGGCCCATTTAGCCTAAAAATGCAGAAAAATATATTTTTCTGAAATTTATATTTTTGGTGTGCTTTGACATTTTTTCATAAGGTAGCTCATTCAGGCCATAATACAAGTAACTGGGCCATCTTTTGCATTTTGGCAGTTAGTATATTATAATGGCTTGGTAAAGTGTTTTTTCCATATATTTTGTATTGAAGTCAAAATACCACACTGTTTACATTTTGCTTTCTTTATCACAAATTATTTTACATTTAATTTCAGTGTTATTTTCTCCAGGTGATCAGCTTCTTACATTTTCTAAACTCGATTTTACAACATTATAAAACACATGTGTGCTGACTTTATACATAAAGAAAAAAAATAATATCTGAGACCTAATGTGCTTTTAAGCTACAAAAGCAGTTATGTAGGATTATGAATTTGTTATACAGACTTGACAGGATAATTGACCTTGTTTAAATAGATGTTCGCCAGCAGTCTGAATTATGTTATAGAAAAATTACTAAGTTCATAAACTTACCACTGTTTTATACATATAACCAGTCAGATAAGTAATAATCAAAGAATTCCTTCAAATGTTTTTTTTCCCCCTGCTTCCAACCACATTGGCTCTGTTTATTCATTCAAACTACTAGTACCCTCCTCGTTTTAAGGGTGTTTTTTTTTATTAACATTGTAGAATATGCTGGGAACTGGAAGAAAATATTGTTTATGTCTATATTGTTAAGTAACAGGAGCACTGACATGTTTTGATGGTGGTTTAATACACCAATAAACAGTTTTGATATGAACTACCGGTACATAAATAACCGAGGTATATCAAGTGAAAATATATGAGTTGTTTCCCTTATCTTCTAAAATCAATATCTCTAATGCTTAAACAATACAAATTAAGCAGTTTTTAGACCGCTAGTTTGTTGTGATTTAATGTCTGATAATAAATTCATTTCACCAATGGAAAACTTTGGATCTTAGCTTCGTCACAGAATATACTTCAACACTTCTTTGACACCAACATATTTAAATTAACTGTAAAATGTTCCATATGTCCAGGTATTTATATTAACATTAATATACGTACCTGATATGTCAAACCATTATACAGTGAGATACTCAACTTGCAAAATTACTGATAAGAATAGCCTGTCGTTTGCAAGTTCAGAAACTGTTTATCGGTGTATTGTCTGATTTGTTACACATTTGTTTAAAATGTTTTAGAATGCTCTTGTATAATTTTTGATAATTACCTGCATCTATGTCTGTCTAAAAAGTTGTTTTTTTCTAAAATTGCCATAAACTATGCTTATATGTAGTATATGTAACATATATGTGCTGTGAAACTATTACGAGTGCTTTAATGTCAGTTTTAAACCTAAATTTCCCTTAGAGATAACATTTCTTGTACAATGGAACTATTCAAGAATTATTTTGTCAAGCTTGCATTATCTTTGTAAAATAGATATGTGAGTATACTTACATATTCAAATAATAACTCAGTCAATGGCAAAAGAGGTGGCATGGTCAAGTGGTTAAAATGTCTGACTAGTACTAATCTAAGGATGGATGTCCAGGCGGGTTCAAACCCCATCAAGAGCAACCCATTGTTTCCTTGAGCAAGAAACTTTTCACTCAAGCTCATTGCTTAGTGATGTTTATATTCCAGAAATAGATTTAAGCTTACAGTTTCTATAACAATCAAACTAAAAATAAATTGTAATGATAATGAATCAAGTAGAACAAACAATCAAAACAAGATGATTGTTTTTTAGCTCACCCTGAGATTGTTGAATGTCCTTTGTCTGTCGCATTGTTTTTTAGCTCTTTCTGAGATCGTTGAATGTCAGTTGTCTGTCGCCTGTCCACATTTTGTTCGTTAACACTAGCGGTCACATTTTTGCCTCAATCATCATCTAACTTTCTCAGGATGCTTGTCTAGGTAGTTGCTCGGATGGGTTTGATGGGTCAGGTGAGCAATCTAGGGCTATCTTGGCCCTCTTGTTTAATAATGATAACGGAAGCTTCGACTCTTACCAATCTTCAGCAGGGTTATAAAATATCAAAATTTAATATCTAAAAAAAAATTCTGTATTTATACACTGATAAGATGGCTAAAACGTGTACACATGCTATTTAAAGAAAAGAAAGTGCTATATAAATATTCGTCCATATTTTATTTACAGAAAAGAAAGTGCTAAACATGTTTAAATGTTCATACTTGTTAGAAAGGATATAAGAAAATTGGTATTAATATGACATGATAGTTTTATTATGAACATTTAGTTTAGAATTTATTTTTATCTCATTATGTGTCAATTTTTCCACATTTCAAGTTGTTTTGTTTTACATTAGAATTATATAATTTAGCAATGATAAAAACAGAAATATCACAACTACAAACAATATTTTTTTCTTCCATGCAATTTAGCACTAATTAAGGGCTGTATCCTGTAGTCAAAACAAATGATACTTTCAGATTCATGCAAATTTTCATGAAAATTTGAAAATGTATTTAAAAGTTAAAAATATTATGAAGTGAACAAAGAAAATAATTTACACATTGCAAACAGCACTGACATTATCTACATGAAATAACCCAAAACAGGTCAAAATATGCAAAAAAGATGTTTTTCTAGATTTGAAGTTATGGGATTAATTCTTTGATCTTCTTTGACTTCTAAAACCCCATAGCAACTTATTTCCACCTCATAAGCATTAGAAAAGTGATATTTTCCCAAATTTTTATTGAGAAAAGTGAGATTTCGTCATAAATAGACAGCAGCCGTGTATATAAAACTATATATAATGTCACGATTATCCAATGAAATTAGCGAGGTTACAAACGTGCAGTATTATAATTAGTAGTTCTACACTAATGCACATACTCAAATTAGTTTTGTAGCAAAATAATAACAATGTTAATGCCAGAAAATGAAATATCAATCAATGAAGCTCAAAATAAATGATTTTATAGAAAGCTTTATCTGATGAAAATTATAATTTTTAATTTTTTTTTTTTTTTCAAAAGTAAAATTGTTGCTTCCATAATCATGTTGTTGATGCTTGGAAAAGTTGTTATACAGAATGTCTTTGTTATTTTAACCAGTTAGTAAAAAAATTGTGCATTTCAATTTTGTTATTCACTCTTAAAGCATCACACCTGAAGATTCATCCTAATTTTTAGCTCGACTATTCGATAAGAATAAGAATAGTAGAGCTATTGTAGTCACCCGAGCGTCGGCGTAACCACTAATGTTAAAGTTTTTGTAATACCTAAAGTTTTTGTAATACCTCACTCATGCCCCAGAGGTCATTGATTTTCTACATATAGTAAAAACAGAAACTAAAGCAAATGTTTTCTGAAAATGAGAAAGCAAGAGCTTAGATGTTTGACATGAAACATTAATTGTCTGGTGGACCTGTATCAAGATTTTCAGAATTAATCCCTTGGGTCAAAATTTTGCCCTGCTCAAGAGGACTTTTTTGTCCTTTGTTGTACAGCTATGAAATTTGGACTATGTGCACAATTTTAAATGTAAAGTTGAACTTTGAGATCAGCTGAGCTAGATTTTGATGATGTGACCTCTTTTCTTGTCCTTTGATGTACAGTCATGAATTTTAGGCCATATAAAAGATGACCTTGACCACCAAATTCACTAGACTCAACTGCATAATGTTAAAGTTCATTTATATAGAAACAGAATAAACTCTTCTGTTTCTACACTACTATTTAGTGTTGTATGATATAATGCGGTGGCTTAGCATTTTTCACAAATGCAATCTCGCTATGATCATGCTTCAGCCTGAAAAAGGAAACTATAAACTGAATTCTGAAAGCTGCACGCCTCCAGATGAGCAAAAATATTTCGATAAAATCAAACCTGAGAAAAATGTTCTAAGATTTTAGGAGAAGTATATAAAGATTCAAAATTCTAGTAAAAATTTACATGTTATGTGCGATTAATGACCAAATTTTTCAGTATTTATAACTTATAATATTTCTACTGCGTCTCTTATAATTTCAGTTCCCTTTCAATATGTAACACCTTAAATGGCTGTGTCCACCTTTCAACCTGAACATTACCATGTCTCATTTTAGGGCATTTAAAAATATGTATTGACAGAATAGCTAACAGTGCATTTAGTGCTCGACAATTTTTTTAAGCCAATCACCGACGAGGATTTTTCAAATTTTCAGGTTACAAATCTTAATAGAACAGATTTTATATAAACTGGACGTTTTATATCATAAAACGCAAGTGGGCAGAGCACTAAGCCGGTTAGAGTGCATATTGGATGTTCTTCGTAAATAAGAAAGCTACAGTCGCTTCGCAAGCTCCGCTCCTTTTTAGCTTTCTTATTTACGAAGAACACCCAATATGCACTCTAACCTATACATCATGGATCAGATTTCACATGTGCCAACTGATCTTGGCTTGCACTGGGCGCATGGTTAGATTCAGTCCATGCCAAGCAGGCTGACGGTTACTTGTATGAATCCTTTATTTTTACAGGGTTACATTTACCACAGACATTTACTAGTATGCTAAATGTGCTGTTATTTATGTACGGAACACAATTGGTTAAAGGGAGATAAATACTATTTGACTAACACTTTAATATTTAGAGAGTTTTTGCCACTTGCTTAAAACTGATTTATTTAGGATTGTTAGTTTTCTGTTTTGTCTTTGTATGATTTTCTTTATAATAATGTTTGACATAATATTAGGATAAATGTTTGCTTGTTAAAGTACTTACTATAAGTGAAGTTTTCCAAATTTTCTTGTCAAAAATTTTTTTGCGCTGTCGGGGACAAGTCATTAAATATTTCCTTTAGAAAGAAAAGTTATAATCATTGCTTGGTACTTGTTAGTTCCAGTAACAGATCCAGTAGTGATCTGGCATACATGTAGTACATCACCATTCAAAAATTAAATTACACAATGTATAAGATAATGTTTTGTTAAATCGGTTAAAAAATACTCAAAACTAATCTTGGCTATATTACATTATCAGTTTTGTACTTTAAAAAGTAACAATTCTATAGTTTTGCAATGAAATAAGGAATTTTTTGTTCCCAGTGTCGAAGTAAAAATCTACTGCTCATATTTCAAAGTCCCTGCTTTAACCTACAATTTACCATATTGTAGACATCATGTAGAAATTGTTGCTTTGTAACAAAGTGTTATTTAATTATACATGTACATATATGTATATATAAAGTGATGGTTTAAATATTGACTCTTTAGTTTTTTGTTTGTTTATGTTTTGTTTTTATTTTATTGTATGTTCTTAATAATTAACAACAGACAATTAAATTATGATTTGAGCTTAATGTTTTTTTTGTATACCCCAAACTGATTAAACTACAGCTATCACTAAATGTGATTAATACCCTTGCATTAAGACTGACCCGGAAATGAGGAAGTTACAAGTAACAGAATACCTTGTAAAAGAATTGAAATAGAGAAATGGTTGTGGGAAATTAAAGATAGTTTTGGTTCTTGTACATTGCATTTCCTTTCACTGTAGCTGACTATTGATGAAGTTTAATTGAATTACTTTGTAATAAAACCAGATAGTTACAGTTTTTGAGCACTGCACTTCCTCTCATTGGGCTTGACCATTGTATGAAGTTGCATTGAAATCCAAACATAAGTTTTAAAGGGAAATAACTCTGCAAATACTGAAGATGGAGTTATGGTTATTCTATACTGCACTTCCTCTCATTGCGATTGACCATTGAATGAAGTTGCATTGAATTTCAACCATTAGTTTTCAAGAAATGCACTGGACAAGAAAAAGTAACAAAGGGCAATAACTGTAATTAGTCCAAATAGTGTTATGGTTTTTGAGCTCTGCACTTCATTTCACTGCACTTGGCCATTGTCTGAAGTTGCACTGAATTCCAACCATTAATTTTCAAGTTATGCACTGGACATTAAAAAGAGTCAAGAAAGAGTTATGGTTCCTGTACACTGTCCTTCCTCTCAATATACTTGACCATTGTACAAAGTTGTATTGAATTCAAACCATTATGCTGTGCTACAAGGAACAGTAACAAAGGGCAATCACTCTATAATTACTCCTAATTGAAGAAGATATATATTGAAGTAAGAATCTTTAAGACCAAAACAGTGTCAATGCTCAAGAATAGACAGGCCAGTTTGAACATGTATGCAGTTGGACCATACCAGCTTATTTGTTGCTACTATTTTTCACTCGGCATTCTGACCTGTGAACTTAACCAGGAAGGATTGTAAAGCAGGTCAAATTCATAACAGTCGCTACTGAATCCCCACCCATCTCCACCTCTCGCGTCAACAAGTGAAAAAGTGATATGGAAACCTCATGGAAGAAGGCTTTAGACTTTTCTTAGGTGTCCCTCTGTAAATTATTTCTTGTAAAATTGGATACCAGAATTAAACCATTCTTTATTGTATTTTCCATGCAAAATGGAGTAAGATTCAAACCAAATAAAAACAAAAATTTGTAACAGAGTTACCAACGTCCCCTGCCTTAGGGAAAACAAAAATTTGTAACAGAGTTACCAACGTCCCCTGCCTTAGGGAAGTTTTACTTGAAGCACAAAATAGTGCTATTTCAAAAGATTGAGGTATGGATCTTGACCTTCAGTGCAAAATTTTGATCAATTGCTAGATCTGCACATGCAAGTAACAATAAATTCATTAAAGAAATAATGAAACGAGAATTTGTAACAGAGTTGCCAACCTCCCCCTGCCCCGGGGATTTTTATACCAAGCATAAAATTGTGCTATTTCAAAAGATTGAGGTATGGATCTTAGGACTTCAGTCCAAAATTATGATCAATGCTAGATCTGCAAATGCAACAATAAATTTATGAAAGAAATAAAATGAAACACAGAATTTAAAAATTTATCATGTAAAGCTTTGATCTCTAAGTGTGACCTTGACCTTGGAGGTAGGGATGCAGGTGTTATGCATGACATATCATCTTATTATTGTAACTATTTGTGCCAAGTATTTTCAAAATCCCTTGAACTATGGAGAACTTATACATCAGACACAAAATATACCCTTTAACAGACTATGTAAATCTTTGACCTCTAAGTGTGACCTTGACCTTGGAGGTAGGGACACAGGTGTTTTTGATGACATATCATCTTATCATTGTGACTATTTGTGCCAAGCATTTTCAAAATCCCTTGATCTATGAAGTTATGGACAGGACACAAAATATACCATATATAACAGACTGTTAACCTTTGACCTCTAAGTGTGACCTTGACCTTGAAGGTAGGGGTGCAGGTGTTGTACTTGACATATCATCTTCTTATTGTGACTATTTGTGCCTAGTTATTTTAAAATCCCGAAGAAGTTCTTGATCGGACACAAAATATACCCTTGTACACCCTTAATTTTTGACCTCTAAGTGGGACCTTGAACTTGGAGGTAGGGATACAGGTGTTGTGCATGACACATTGTCCTATTACAGTGACTATTTGTGGCAAGTATTTACAAAATCTTTCGATCTATGAAAAAGTTACGGACCGGACACAAAATATATCCTATAACAGACTATGTTAATTTTTGACCTCCAAGTGTGACCTTGACCTTGAAGGTAGGTGACCGGTTGTTGCTCATGACACAATGTCTCATTATTGTGAACAATTGTGGCAAGTATTTACAAAATCCCTTCAATGATAAGAAAGTTATGGACCCGACACGACATATACCCTCAAATAGGCAATGTTGACCTTGAATGAGCAAGTGTGACCTTGACCTTGGAGGTAGGGGTCTGGTTGTTGAGCATGACACATCGTCTTATTATATAACAAACATTTGTGCCAAGTTATTTAAGATTCCTTTGATACACGACAAAGTTAAGGACCGGACACAAAAGTGTGAGGGACGGACAGACAGACGGAAGTTCTTTTTAGCCACACGAAAGAAAATAGACACATAAAAGCATTACGGAATGAATGACATCAAAGAGAAAGAACAGTTACCTACTGTCCCTCTAGCCACATAAATACCGTCCTGTGAGTGCGGACGGACAGACGTACTTACAAAATGTTACTAATGTGACTTTTCCTTTGATCTTTTTAGCTATTTTTAGTTGACACAAGGCTTTAAAAAAGACACACAAGTAAAAACGGAATGAATAGGATCAAAGAAAACTGTTACCTATTGTTCACACAAGTACCTCTGGGTTTGTACGGATGGACAGACAGACGGACGGAGCCTATTTCTACATCCCCCTTTTTTCTTCAAAAAGGCGGGGGACAATAAGAGAAATATGAAACAAGCAAATTTGTTGAATTTATATTCCCCGCTACTAACACAACAACTGAAGACATAAGGCTTTATTTATATATATTTATCATCATGTGTAAACAGAAATATTCTTGTACAGTAATGTACATGATAAATATTCAGGACAATAACAGAGCCATAACTCTGTGTTAAATAGTAATATCTGGACATGCCAATGATATGTAAATTGCCTTTTTGTATTGATGGTTCCCATAAAGTTTTTTATTGAAATCAATACAGCAGTTGCAAAGAAACAGCAATATTGCTCTATATGCATACTACATAACTAATCAAGGACCATAACTCTGTAATGAAGGGTCTGGTCTGAACAAGGCAACAAATTGTGCTCTTGGTATTAATGGTTCCCATGAAGTTTAATTGAATTCCAGCCAGTAGTTGCAGAGAAGTAGCGAGGAAACAATTATTGCTCTATATGCATACTGCATAACTAATCAAGGGCCATAACTCTGAGTTAAAGTGTCTGACAGGAACAAGGCTACGATATGCCCATCTCCTGTTGGCGTTGAAGGTTCCTATAAAGTTTCGTTGAATTCCAGCCAGTAGTTGCAAACAACTAGCGCGGAAACGAAATTCTGACAGACGGATGGAAGTCCAGTCATAAATCATCAACCAATGACAGTTACATACCCTGTTACAGTTAATTTTAGTTTTTTAACCCCCTAGTGGGACCTTTACCTTTGAGGTACGAGTCTAGGTGTTGTGCATGACATTAATTTTTTCGATGGTATGACCCTGAAGATTTCTATAATTCGCGCAATACATGTTTGAGATAGGCATCAAACAGTTGTGTAAGACAGGCTGTCTTGATATGCCTAAACAGAACATTTTAGCTAAGTAATTTCAAAATCCTTTGATGGGACAAACAGATGGAGTCCATTTCTACATCCCCCTTTTTCCTTCCAAAAGGCAGGGAACAATTAACCTATACGGAGTTTATCTCTAATACTTTTGAAGTTATTCTCTGAATATGTAAAACACAGACTCTGAAATCTTTTAATTGTAAGTGTGACCTTGTAAGTTTGAACTCATAATGTACCCTATAACAGACTATATTAATCTTTGCCTTGACCTTTAAAAACTGTAGGGGACTGGTTATTGCACCTGACAAAACATCTCATTATTATGAACATTTGTGCCAAGTATTTACAAAATCCCTTGATCTATGAAGAAGTTATAGACCGGACACAAATATACCATATAACAGACTATGTTAATCTTTGACCTCTAGGTGTTACCTAGTAGGAAAGGTTTTGCACATGACACATCATCTTATTATTGTGACTATTTGCAACAGTACTTTTTGAAAATCCTTTGATCTATGAAAAGTTTATGGACAAGAGAAATATACCCTTTTAAACAGACTATGTTAATCTTTGACCTCCGTGTGGTAGGTGACCAGTTGTTGCGCATGAAACATCGTCTCAAACAATTTTGACAAGTATTTAAAAAATCCTTTCAAAGATAAGAAAGTTATGGACCGAACACAACATATACCCTCAATTAGGCAATGTTGACCTTGAATGAACAAGTGTGATATCCCTGAGAGTAGGGGTCTGGTTTTTGCGCATGACACATCGTCTTATTAAAACAAGTATTTGTGCAATGTTATTTCACATTCCTTTGATAAATGACAAAGTTATGGACCGGACACGAAAGTATGACAGAGGAAGCCTATTGCTTTATCCCCCTTTTTTCCTTCGAAAAGGCAGGGGGGGGGGGATGGGTAAGTGCTTTGAACCCAGTTTACCAGAGACTACACAAAAACAAAGAATAAAAGCTATATCTATGAAATATTTTCATAAAACTTATAAATGATAAACGACCTTCTTTCCAAAAATCCTCGGTAACCCAGGCTATTTACCTTTTGTAATACTGCATGTTTGTAACGTTGTTTTTCCTTGGATAATAGTGACATTTATATAATTCTATATACACGACTGTTGTCAATCTATGAAGAAATCCAACTTTTCTTGCTTAAAAATAATGCTTGCCGTATTATAAATTTGTTATAAATATTTCCAACAGCTCTCGGGTGTTATTTCCAAACAACTGTTAAATTAGGGCCATAGAACTTGTCAAAAATCTTTATAACTAATAATATAGTATTAAATGTAGTATATACAGACTGTAAACCATAGGTTTGGATAATGGGTTTGCTTGTTGGGAAAACATAAATTTATGTTACTCAAATAGTTTCTATGACATGGCAAAAGTCAAACATCAACAAAATCCTCTTCTCTTATTTTTTATTTACAATATTAATGTTGGTACCAATCATACCAGCAATAAAAAACATTTTTACTGAAATTACTAATAGCAAAGTTCTTTATTAGTAGCTAACTATGGAGGTAGGCAAAAAATGTAAAGAAAAAAATCTAAGATAATTCATCGAAAAATGTTTAGTTAAGTTTCCTTTTTTCACATTTTTTGTTTGCAAAATGTAGCCAATTATTCAACATCTGTTTAAAACAAGAACACTACTCATAAGTTACAACATTTTGTTTACAAATTCTTAAAAAAACTATACCATTATTGTCACAAAAGATATATATAAGATTCTTAATTTTTTTCACAGAAAAGTTCAGATAAAAGATTCATGTTCATATATAGTTCTGTTTGAAAAGTAAGGTACCATAATTCATCTTATCCGACGAAAAACTTCTCAGAATGATCTTTGTTTTCCCAATTAGACATGTTAGCAATAACTGGCACTTCGATTGGACCACAGATATCCGATGTTCACATTTATCCCTGCATGACCAGAAGGTTCAGGTAAAACTTATACCTTAAGAACTTATATCTTAGAACTATAAAAATCTACCATAGTGTGCCTTGTTTATTTATACAATTATTTTCTAACCAATCGCACTTCAATGTATTTAAACCACGCGGAATGGATCTCCAAGTAAATGTCTATTTGAGCATACAAGTTAACAAGTTCAAAAATAGCTTACAATGCAAAAGAAACATTTCTTACCAGAACAAATTCAATGTGTATGTAATTCTATATGATAAGTACACAAATACTCAATTCCCAGATGATGAAATAAGATATGAATGATGACGATTCATTTGAGATAATCAAACCTTATTCTTGAAAAAATAAGAAGACATATTCATTGAAAAACAAAATCAGCATTCAACTTTTCAAAATCTTGAAGCGTTAGTCCAACACAGCCTTGGACTTTTGACAATTGAAGTTTTTAATTTCAGATACACAAAAAGTGATTATGATACTTGAAAATTAAAGTTTGTACACAGCTTTTACATGACTGATAATGTCTTGACCAAAACACATATCTAAAATGGCCCAATTTATGCCAATTCAAAAAAAAAATTGTTTCAAAATAAAAAAATTCTTCACAAGTTTCACAATAAAAAACTCAGCTACATGATGGTTTTAGCCCAGAAGAACATACCTGCGACAACATTTTTTTTATATAAATGCCTTTTAGTCATTTTTAGTTTCACAGTTTAACACATACAAATGAATAATGAATAAATGGCTGAAAAATAAAAAGAAAAGCAAACAATGCTACGCTTTTAACATGTTCACAGCAAAACTTACTGCTATACGTGTTTCTAAAAACATCACACTAATGCTATATATATTCCCTGTTTATACATCTTGTACACAATAACCCACAAGTTTATACTATTTTAACGCAGACAATACATTTTAGTTTTAAACCATAGCAGTGATTTTCTTTTTCATTATAAGACTCATACCATACTGCCCAAAATTGTGTCCTAAAATTCCCAATGACACACTATAAAAAATTCATGTTTTCTTTTTTAAGTTTTTTTGGAACTTGTTTTTTTTGCCCCTCATAAATTAATTTTATTATACATTTATTTTATATACCGGCTCCAAACTAGACCAACTCTCTAGAGAATGTTATTGCCCTGTATCAGCGTGGATTTAAACATTCAAAGAGATTTCCGCCTCGAGTGGGAAACGTCGCCATGTAACAGCGTGGATTAAAAAATTCACAAAGATTACGGCCTAGAGTGTAAAAAGGCCAATTTCTGTCTTCAACTTATAAATCAGTCCTTAGATTACAAGGGATGAACCCTTATCAAACAGTGTCAATACAATAAGTACTAAAAGGATATACAGTATAACATGTGTTAGCAACAATAAAAGACTATTTGAGCCGTGTCACGACAAAACCAACATTATGGCTTTGCGACCAGCATGGATCCAGACCAGCCTGCGCATCCGCGCAGTCTGATCAGGATCCATGCTGTTCGCTATCAGTTTCTTTACTTGTAATAGGGTTTGTTAGCGAACAGCATGGATCCTGATCAGACTGCGCTGATGTGCAGACTGGTCTGGATCCATGCTGGTCGCAAACCCATTATGTTGGTTTTGTCGTGACGCAGCTCATTTTACATAAACAATACATTTTAAATGAATGTTAAGATGTTATTTTCTCAGTATTTCTTTTTAACTGTCAAATACAAAACATTGGCTATGATGCTTGAAGAAAAAAAATATGACTTCTTAGTTGACATATCATATTAAGGGAAGCTAGTTAACACCTAGCCTGCAAGCTACAGCTGATATTATCCATGTGACCATTGCAGACCAAGAGCAGTCTGCACATATGTGATGTAGACTTTCCCTGTTCAGTCAGAAAATATTTTGAAAATATCCCCTAAATATAGATTATCTTAACTGGACTTGTCCATCTGTAAATCAAAGGTAAAACTGTTTATCATATTTAGAGGAATATTTCAAAATATGTTAAATGGTTTTACCCATGACTGAAAGATGAACAAGTCCAGTGAAGATAATTTAAATTAGCATAGTAAGGGTTAAACCATTGAAACTCAAAATTTTTAAATTTCACATCAAAAACTATAAATCACACTTCTTGAGTATAAATTATACTATCTAAACAACATATATTTCTTATCACTTAACATAAAAAGATCTTTCTTTTTTCACTCTTTAACCTTCTTAACCTAATGTTTTTGTATAATGACTTTGCAAATCAGAATATAATATATAAAATGAGCTGCCAATAGTATAGAGCCTGGCAAGATTTCAGGGATGTGCTGGCTGGCCTGGCTCTATATTGGTGACAAATTAGACTTGGTTCCAAAAGATAATAAGGGTTACTACATCTTCATCCCTTCTTGTCACATTAAAATTCTAACATTTCAATGATCTGAAAACAAACAAAATGTTATCTTTTTTTATGTATATTCAAGTTTAGTCAAAATAGATTTGCACAAAATTTTAATACAATCTTGTTCAGTTAAAAAAAAAATATATATAGTACAAAGTTTTACTATGCATTGTAAACTAATTTTTATGTTATGATGTTATTTTCTTAAAAAAAAACACAAAAAAAACAACCAAAAAACTTTGCGAGTAAATCAAAAATGTATTGAAAAGATAAATGCCTGAAAAACATTTCAGTGACAATATCAACAATGTTCTTTAACTGACAACATGGTCATGATCTAATGTTGTTAGAATTTTTTTTACATATTTGAGTAAAATATCTTAAGTTCATTTGTAACTCTCCAACACAAAAGGGGAAAAAAGCCAATACAGATTTGCCTCCCTTGACCGTTTGACACATCTTAATTATATACAATGCCACCATTCTTTCATTAGCCTGTTTGAATGCCAAAAAATTTGTAATTCTAAGTCATCCATACCATCTTACAGCCATCATGACTGGTTTTCAAATTTTATGTCAAACTAAACATGTGAATAAAGAGAAATACCCAAAAGGACGATACAGTCTATAGGATAAGTACAACAATCTTTTAAATAAGATAACACAATAATAATTTCTGCCTTGGTATGATTCTACATCACTGATAAACAGAGCTATTGAGGGATATAGTATATAATGATATATGATACAGAAAAAATGACTTATTTATAAAAAAAAAACTAACAAAAGAAACCAACTCAACTGTCCTTATTATCAATAGGAAAATATTAACAAAGTACTCAGGAAAGAAATGCATCACCAATAGTTTACACATTAAGCTTCAGCACAAAAATACATCACTGTCAAAATAATAGTTTGTTGCATTGATATCGTCATTCATCAGAAAAATGCCATTCATACAAAATTATCTGATAAAAAAAATTGCAAATTTTCATGTTCTTGTGCACCAACACTTTTCATTTTTTGAAACTTTCTTTTTTCTTGTTTACTTTTAAACCATTCAAAATCAAACCTTTGAACCCAAGTAAAAATAAATCACTGCATGTTTTGCTATTCAAAAAAGAAAAAAAAAACACCTTAAAACCCATAGCAGCTGGCAAATTCTTGCCTTCTGAACATGGTCTGCACTGTCTGCTTTGAAATTTTCCCTTGACCTAAAATTAATGAATGGTACTAAAATCTATTATGAAAGATGTCAATAATTTTTAGCATGGCTTGTTAAGAGCATTAAAGTGACACCAGTGTTTCCAACAAACCTGTTGATCAATCTTTTATGAAAATCGATGCATAAAAAATAAAGTAAATTCAAACTCAACTTCCATTAGAGTGTGCCAGTATATATACTATAAATGGTTTACTGCAATAATTAGGCCACGGTTAATTCCATGGTTTCACAAGTAATCATTACTATACAGTGTGACACAGCGCTGTCTTAATCACTGACCAAGACAACTTTTTTTTTCAAATTTGACAAATTGTCAAACACAGTGTCTTCAAGTCATCTAAACAAAACAAAGTTAAAAATATGTCTAAACTTGTCTCAAACATACTTTAAAGAGAGACTGTCCAAGTAACAGTGTGCATTCAAGATGACAACAAACTTCTTCTAGTGATAGTAATAAATCTACTGATTAAGTAATAATAATAGTAATAACTCTTTATTGACTTTAATTTCAGTGCATATAACAGGGCTTCCATTAGTGGAAGTTTGGGAATCGTTTACTCCTGACTTTAGGTTTTAATTTCCAAAATACAATGCTTTTACTTCTTTACCTATATAATGGGACTTTTTCAGACATTTTCAGTCTCTGACTATAAAAAATCTTAGAACTTAATGGAAGCCCTTATGTTAGATTCTGATTGTATCCATGGATATTTACATATCAGAAACGGTTCTTAAAATTTACACTTTGTTGCAAATGAAAATCAGATATAAAATTTAGTGTATAAATAATAATTCATATTGTGAATGTGTAACTCAAAATGTGTCAACCTTTAAAAACTAATGAGCACTTCAAAAGCTATTGCGTATTAGTAAATATATATAAAGTGTTCTGGTGTAATAACCAAAGTGTTGAAAGTGAAATGCATATATATATATATATATATATATATATATATATATATATATTTGGATTTTCGTTCTGCAGTTTGACCATTTGTTATCATACACTTCAAATACATACATGTTTATATCTTAGATTAAATGTTAAACTGAATATTACTTGCTTACAAGAAAAAGTACATCACGAATTCACAATGTACAAATGCATATACACACCCTCGTATGAAAATTTACAAAAAAATATTTACAATAATAATGATTTCTATGTACATTTGCTACAAGTATGTCCGTTAGTTACAGTTTTTTGTTTATCATTTTTTTCATTACTTTTATCAACAATACTACATGGAGTAACAGACTTAAGCAGAACATATCCACTTTGGAATATAAATGAAAAACCACTATAAAGTATAATCTAAATAAATGAATACACTTCCATATGAATTATAAAATTGAGAATTTTAAACAAATTAAAAATTTCAGCCAGAACTAATTAAAATTTACACAGATGATAATTTGAACTTAAAACTAATAGAAACAGTGATTTGCTCATTTTTTTATTATGTACAAGTTTACATAATCATAACTTTGACATTCACTGCTACAACTAGTATTATTCTGTTATACTGTTATAAAATCACTTTTCATTAACGCCCAGCAGTGCCTGTTGTGACTTGTGTAGATTGTGCTACTGCAGCTGCTTTCTGTTTTAGCATTGTCCAGTCAAAAGTGTAATCATATTGGTAATTCAGAGTGCGGAAAAGAATTCTGAAGAGCTGTCGTAGATACATGTAGTCGGGTGCTTCCTCAAATCGTAGACCTCGGCAGTAGTTGAGATACATGGCAAATTCAGCCGGGAATCCTTTACAAAGCACCTCAACTGGAGTTGACATTTTCTTTTCACTGATTTTCTCATACTTCTGCTTCTTCGTGTTGGCTTTCAGACCTTGCCATGGTAGACTTCCTCTGTTAAAGTACATCAGCACATATCCCAATGATTCCATGTCATCACGACGACTCTGTTCAATACCCAAATGAGCATTGATACTGGCATATCGGGCTGTGCCCGTTAGATTCTTATCTTCTCTGTATGCTATATGTGTCCTTGTACGACTGTCTCTGTACTTTTTTGCCAGTCCAAAGTCAATCAAAAACACTTTGTTACAGTGGCGACCAATGCCCATGAGGAAATTATCTGGTTTCACATCTCTGTGAATAAAGTTTTTGTTATGTACATATTCAATACGCCCAATCATTTGATCTGCAAGCATAAGCACTGTTTTCATAGTGAATCTTCGAGAGCAAAAGTTAAACAGGTCCTCTAAACTGGGACCCAAAAGGTCCATGACAAGTATGTTGTATTCTTTCTCTTGCGCGTAGTATCTTATGTGTGGAATACCTACTCCACCTTGGAGTATTTTATAAAGTTTACTTTCATATAAAAGTTGGGGATGTCTGGCCTTTGTGGACTCAAGTTTGACTGCTACTTCCTCACCATTTGTGATGTTGATTCCAAGATAAATATCACCAAACGAACCGCTCCCGATCTTCCTTACAAGGCGGTATTTACCCCCAACGAGAAAGTCACCCGATTTCCCACTCGCACTATCCATTTTTCCCGCCAGCTTGGACAGCTAATACAGTCAATTTATGAGATAAATCGTACACGAAACCTGTTGAAAACCAGTTTCTACTTGGTTGCCATCTTGGGTGGTTGCATCGCAATATATTACCCACAGTGCATTGCAAACTAATTTTGCGCGTGCGCTCTTTTGGCAATTTTCTCATTTCCTGTTCATTTCGACACCATACCGTTTAAAATTAACGTTTTCTTTTACGGAAACTTGCGGAAGCTCACGGAAATTTTGTGAAAACCGGAAAACTAGAGACTTAATGATACGGAAACATATATAATAGCTCTGTGACTAAACTAATCAGAATCTTTTCCTATAAATTTCAAAAGTGATTTATTGATTGTATTTTTAGACAAAAATGGTTATTTAAGCTGTTGTTATTTATATAACAAGAAGTTTCTCCTGGGACATAAAGTTATCCTATATATATATGTCCCACGTATCTTTCAAAAAGAGTAATTTATAAAAAATTTACAAGTTTATTCAGACAAAATCCGAGGAAAAGAAGGAGATTTGTTAAACCCTACTGTAATTACAGTACTACAGTATTACCCTACTGTAATAACTATTACGGTATTAAATTTTCTCCGTTCGTCCAAGAATTCGTCCCACCTATTTGAGATATCAATGTGAAACTTAATATACGACAGTTCATAGATATCATTAAGGATGAGTACAGTACAAGTGTAAGCATGATAACTCTACCATTTATTTAGTTTTTTAGTTATCGCCTTGTTAATTTCTAATTAATTCTGTTTTTCTCTGGAGCATAACTCAAAATTTTAATTAGAAACTTCAAAGGTGGTAAGAACTTCTTCAGAATGAGTACAGTGCGAGAATGATATGCTTTATGCTCTTCCATTCATCATTTTTAGTTTTGGTTTTGGCTTACAGTTATTATTTTTGTATTGCTTTATTTTTGTCCGGAGCATAGATTGAAAAGTATCAAAAATATAAACTTCATTTGTGAATGAATTTAAATGAAAAGGAAAAATAAGGCATACACAAGAATGATATAACTCTGCCGTCATAAATTTTCAGTTACTGCCCTATGTTACTTTTCCACGCTTTGTTATTGACTGGAGCAAAGTCTGAAACATCCAAGATATATAGATCTGAAACCTCAATCATTGAGGAGGAGTGCAGTGTTTTCTATCAAATATTTGAAAGCTAATTTCCCTTTGTTTGTATTTTTTATCGCATATCTTTTTCAGAGCATGTCTCGAAAAATGTTTTAAGCTATCAATTTGAAACTTAACAAGTGGTTACATTTTTTTTAGTTTTAGTGAATAATATAATTAGTGAATAATTTAGTGAATAATATTATAATTATCTTTGAAGTTTGGTTAAATCTGACTTTATAACAGTGTCTTTCAAATAGAATTTAAATCTTGATTGACATAATAAAAGGTTAACCCTTTCCCCCATGAGCATATTGTGAAAAATGGCCATTTTCACTGAAAAGCCTCCTGTTACAAGTTCAAACTGCTATGAAACTATGAAAAATGCTTCAATACTAATCAAACTTGGCACAAATGTTGACTGGACCATTGCCTTTGTAACGACATGCTCAGTCTTAAATTTCCTGTTACCATGGCAACGAGGGGACATCTCAAAATTGCCAAAAATCACTTTTTTGCCTCGATTTTTTCCATCAAAATTTATTTCAAAGTGATGCAACTTCTCAAGGGATTGAGATAGAGTCAAAGGCTTTTCAGCGTTGGTTACACGTTACCTTATGATCGACCTGGGGTCATTTTAAGCCTCTCACAAGTCCAAAATTTTCTTGGCGATGAGGGGGACTCCGCCCCCCTTCAAACCCCCCAAACAGAAGGGGACACATCCCCCTTCTGACAACCCCCTGATGTAATATTTGGATGGGGGACGGCGCCGAAAAAATGGTCACTTTTTTTAACAACATTTCTCAAACGAAAGACAGTGTTTGGGGCCTAAATAGGACATTTTTTCACTGTTTGAGGCCTAAAAAAGGGGGGGGGGCAAAAAGCCGTCGAAACACGCTTATATAAGGGAAAAGGTTAAAGAAAATACGCAAACCATACATATAAGATTGTATACGTCAAACCATGGAGTTGAATAGACTATATAGACTGAATAGATAGTGTATGTATATCTGTGGTCAAACCCAATTAATTTAAACTTAAATTTTAAGTGACATTACGCCCACCCAAGTGTAAATGTTGAGAGTACTTGCAAAACTCAAGATAAGTCTATTTTGCCATACGTTTGTTTCCAATTTCATATTCTACTTTTAATGAATATTCGATAACGCACGTGACACACAGACATAACGCACGTGGCACACAGACATAACGCACGTGGCGCACAACACACGTGGTACACAGACATTTCTTTGAATATCCTCCAGAAAGTATCAGTTACGCTCAGCTTATTTTTTGGATTTTTAAGGTGTCCCGTTAGTGCCATCGCCATACACGCATAACTCGAAACATAACGATAGTGAAAAATTTATAGGCCTTTATTTTGACATTTCATCATCATTTCGTGTTTTCGTTGTTTCAAGTCGTGTGTGTCACTCATCCTAAACATTTCTAATAATCAATTATTGGACAATCGCTATCAAATGAAATATACTAGTACTACTTATTCAACCCAGCCAGCCAACGAAAACCTAATATGACTGTATCAGACGCTTTCTTTATTTCTGTGCTCATTTTTCTCTCTTTCAAGTTTTACCTTTTCCAGAGGAAGCGCGACTAGCTATTATCAGTTTGACTTCCTGTAAAATTAACACGGAAGGACTGAATTTAAGCAGAATTTTCATTGGTCAATAGAAGAATTTTCATTGGTCATTATAAAATTACAAACTGAAATCGGTGTATCTCATTGGTCATTCTAAAATAAAATGTAAAGGATAGTTCTTACCATTCTAAAATAAAATTTTAAGGACAGCTGTAAGATAAAATTTAAGGGATAGTATTAGTTTTCACTTTTGCCACTATAAAATGAAATGTGAAGGATAGTACTAAAATAAAATGATGTACAGGAATGAGGATAGTTCTTTAACTTTTAGGTTAATTTGTAAATGATTACAAAAAATCTATAAAGTCAAAACGTAAATCAATTAAAAGGGTTATCTTAAATAGAAGTTGTCTTACTTTGAAAACTCATCAATATCAATATGCATATAATTTAATTTCAATGTTTACAAAATGGGTATTTTCTTTGCTACAAGAAACAATTATTATGTCATTGTTATGCAAGCATTGCTAAAAAATTTATATTAATAATTTAGGAATAACATAACTTTGCATGTTAACCAGTATTTCTTCGACCAAGTATCTTTGTGAAAGGGTACCTTTGAAACATATTCTAGTTTTTACACTTCAGGAACCGGTTATTATTGAAGTCACTATATAATTTTAGCATATTTATCTACCATACTGTACTGTGAACAAAGTTGAGGAACTAGTTCTTGGCTGGTAAACAAATCACTTTGATGTTACTGTAGTTGCTGTGCTTCATTTATAACTTAAAATACATAACTATTTGGCCATCTGAACTGAGAGAGCATGTATGAAAACACGTGTACCCATTTCTTTAGATAACCAATAAAAAACAATACAAGAAGTAAATTACATTTTTTTTATTTTTCTCCCATTAATTCAGATAACAATCTGAACATAAGCGTCCAATATAGAAACATTATTACACAAGATATTCTTTAAAAAAGTTGCAGATTTTTGTAAAATCCTTAAAACATATAATGTTATAAAGATCTAAAAAAAATCATAAAGTCTTGTATTGCAATATAAAAACAGAACGACACAAGAACAAAAATATTGATCTACAATGTACATTATCATGTTATAACATTATCATGTTATATATAACATAAATTGAGATCATAAAAGAATGAATGAATAAAATAACAACAATACATGATATTATGACCAACATTCAAAATGGATAAATATCATTACAAAATGTACTTTCATTATCTGATACAGATAAATACAGAATAAAAATACTAAAAGTTACAGTTACAAATTTCTTTCCCAAAATATTCAATACAAAAATAGTATTCTATAATTCCCAGATTATATTTTTTTACATCAAAAGTTACAAGAATGACACGTTAATGCATAATGAAAGGTGAATCAGAAAGTTTAAGAATATGATTTAAAACCAAATTATTTATAGTACAAAAGAAACATAAAGTATGAAAAGTAATACTGGTGATCAAATAAAAGCTAGTATATGACATGAATAATTCATTTAAACAATATGAATAATTCTTTAATAAATGATACGAAAATGCATTTGAATAATATGAATAATTCATTTAAAAGAAAATATAATTTGAGAGTAAATAATATGAATAATTCTTTAATAAATGATATGAATAATTCATTTAAATAATATGAATAATTCATTTAAATGAAAATATAATTTCAGAGTCATCACAGCTGAAGGGCATTTAATGTCAAATGTCTAATTATGTATTTTTCAATCTTTTGATAAAAATAGAGTTTATCGATTTTTCACTTTTATTCCGAACCTCGACACTCCCGTAATATTCCATATATCATTTTAATGTACAATTTATTACTACCAACCTTTAATATGATTGCAAACATCATCTATATCACAGATTAGTCACATGGAACACGTGTCAATAATATACATATAAATATATATACATATACATGGTGACAGGTGAGGGAAACATGGTAAGTATAAACATTTATTTTTATATTGACACCACCATTCACAATTACTGACCAGCAACATAGTGAACGCTTAACACAAGTCAATCACCAATATCAAAACTAAAACACCATATGCTTTACATCTGACATAAACTTTAAACAACAAGGTCAATTCTTAACCTAAAATTAGCAAACATTTCCGAGTGAAATAAATGTTCAGAAATTACCGAAGTCATTTCAGGGGAAGAAAAATCTTTCCCTATTAATAAAGAAATGTAGTAACTTAAGAATTTAAAATCCGCAGATACGGCAATGTGAATGGCAACCATCAATTTTCTTAAGGCAACTTGAAATAAAACATGATGAGTAAACTACTATAATTATATACCTAGCTAAAAATATATATTATTATTAATTTTTATTTACAGAAATTTTACTAAATCTTCCACTATCCTTATCCCCCATAATAAAAATATTTCAATTAAAAATTGTCACTGCATATTTGGACTAGTATGCATTTTGAAAATGCAACAATGAATCATTAAATCACTATGTGAATTTAACTCGTAAAGTCTAAAAATGTCTTTAAATTTATAAATCTCATAAAATAAAAACAAAAGATATTTAAAGCTTAGCAAGGAATGATAAAGAAATATAAGTATTTACAGCTCCAGATGAAATTAAGAAAAAATGAGAATAAAAATATAACACAACCTTTTTGACATAATAAAATGAAACATAAACGTCTGACTAAAATGATTAACCGATTAAAAATGCAACCAATGAAATTCATACAAACGTTCGATTCTGATGGAAGTTGAATGTTATGAGAACACAAAAAATATTGCAATAGCTGTTCAAAAAAACATATTGGTCATTACTTTTTAACTGTTCGAGAACATTTATCACCATGTCCGTTGTTGTCGAGTTTCAACTATAATTCTGTATTAATTCTCTGCTCTAACTTCTTCAATTCTTGTTGAATTTTCACGGGCAGATCTTCACCAACCTGATCTTCAAAATATTTTTCAAGTTCTTTCACTTCCATTTGCCAGAAAGCCTTGGGCAAATTGAAAAGTTCATCCATATCTACTTCCTCCTTCAAACCTGACAAGTCTATTGAGCCGGGTTTTGGAATGTAACCAACAGCAGATTTAACGGCACAGTCTTCCCCTTTTACACGTCGAAACATCCAGTCCAAGACGCGAGAATTGTCTCCGAACCCTGGCCACAAAAATCCATTTGTGCCCTTCCTGAACCAATTTACATGAAAGACCTTTGGTAATTTACACTTGGGATTTTCCTGGAAACTCAACCAGTGATCAAGATAGTGTCCAAAATTATAGCCGAAGAATGGCCGCATGGCAAATGGATCATGCATCACAACTTTGCCTGAAAATTAGAATAACAACATTAAAGATATTTATAGTAAAAAAAGTAAACAATCAAATTCAAGCAAATGAAATTGCAAAATTACAAAAATCGCAAAAAAACCTTTTTGAAATTTGATAAAAATTAAACTTTTTTTTGCAGCAAATATACAGAACTATTATATTCGTGCAATTTTGAATTAAAGACAAAAGTTCATAATGAGCAAATAAGACCAGAGAAAACAAGAAATAAAGTTAAAGTACCTGTGTGCTCTGCAGCAGCAGTTGCCTCTGATTTCAATGCAGCTCCGAGAAATACACCATGTTGCCAATCAAATGCCTCATAGACAAGTGGCACGCCCTCTGGTCTCCGCCCACCAAATATGATACCTTCAATTGGCACTCCTTCAGGACTCTCCCACTGATCATCGATAATTGGGCACTGACTAGCTGGTGTACAAAATCTCGAATTAGGATGTGCCGCGGGTTTTCCCATTTTTTTATGCCAGTCATGGACTCCAAGCCATGAAGTGATCGACACGTTATCAGGGAGATCCGACTCCATGCCTTCCCAATACACGCCACCATCGCTCGTACTTGCCACATTTGTGAATATTGTGTTTTTCTCGATTGTTCTCATGGCATTTGGATTCGTCTTCATTGACGTACCTGGATTATAAAATAACAATCATGTTCAACTGAAACTTTAAAGTGGTTTAAGCACATAGTACATGTAACATTAAAACAGAAAATATTCTATTACTAATAATCTAATGATAATTTAATTAGTAAAGTCAGTATGAATATTCTTTTCATTTTTTAACCACAGTAATGTTATAAATAATTCATACCTGGTGCAACACCAAAGAATCCTGCCTCTGGGTTGATGGCACGTAGCTGACCATTTTTATCAAATCTCATCCATGCAATATCGTCCCCAACACATGTTACTTTATATCCTGGTAACGTGGGCTCCATCATGGCTAAGTTTGTTTTCCCACACGCACTCGGAAATGCTGCCGCAAAATATTTCTTCTCTCCCTTTGGATTTTCAATACCCATAATCTGTAAAAAAAAGAATTATCTCTGTCATTTCAGATGAGCATAAGTTTCTTAAATGAAGGGAAACAGAACATGGGAAATTTTGCTAATCAAACTTTAAGGCAATAATTCAACACATGTAACTTTTTTAACCTCTTCATTATATTCTTCAACTGAATATTTCAGATTCAAATTAAAAAACTTTTAAAATTTTGATGTAAGTGAATTTAAAGGAAGAATTTCAATTCCAGTATTATGCATATATTATGTTTCAACTTGTGTTGCATTTATATACAATATGTTGACATTTATTTTAAAATTTGGCTTGAAAATAAAACCAAACTCACCAGCATATGTTCAGCAAACCATCCCTCTCTTCTGGCAAGAATGGAGCCGATCCTGAGAGCAAAACATTTCTTTCCGAGCAGAGAGTTACCACCGTAACCGCTTCCAAATGAGCAAATCTCGTTTCTTTCAGGCAAGTGAGCAACAATAGTTTCCTTTGGATTACACGGCCAAGCATTCCTAACCACTTCAGCTGTAAATTGAAAAATGAATTTATTATTCGCAATTCATCAAATTTAATTCTCAAAAGAAAGATTTCTTATGAAGTATTTTCTTTATATTTTTCTTATGTGACTGACAGATAATTGCACACAGCTCAATCTTTTTTGTGGACAGTGTTAAACAAAATGTCTTTATTTTATATTCCCGCAAATCTAGCTTATAAAAACTTAAAATATAGAACGCTTACCACTGCTTGCTGTGGTTATTGGTCGGCCAACGGAATGTAAACATTTGATGAATTCTCCGTCCTTTAGAGTGTCTAAAACATTTGAACCCATGCGTGTCATTACCCCCATACTGGCAACAACGTAGGCCGAGTCGGTCAGCTGAATACCGATCTTAGACAATGGGGAGCCGAACTGGGCCCATACTGAATGGTATCACGTACATGGTGCGACCTGAAATAACATAAAAATCACCATATTGAATATAATTTTACTTCATAGGTAGATTGTGATTAGTTATAATTATAAATTCAGAAATTATTAAATATTAATTTAATGTTATATTGATTAAGAAGATTTTATTTCCACTGTTGTATTTGTTTATTCCAATCATGGTTTATATCAAATCACAGATTAATTAAGGGAAGCATATTATTATACAATTAAATGTAAGAGCCAGACCAAAATCCAATTTTACAAAGGCAGTAAATAAAGGGAGGTAACTTCTTAAAAATTTTACAATAAAAGGGAGGTAATTTAACAATGTACCTTTCATGCAGCCTGGGAATCTCGAGTCAAGGGCAGTCTCCATATCTTCAGGTGACATCCAGTTAGCTAAAGTTCCTTTAACGCCTTCTTTCGTATGTGGGACGGTGTCATATTTTTCATGTGTAGAGATAAATGTACGACTTTCAACCCGGGCAACATCAGCTGGATCTGTGTTTGCTAACCAACTGCAAAAATATCATGATATAATATAGTATTTTCTCATTTTTGTTTGTTTGTATATTTTGCTATCACCTTTAGTAACTTATTGTATACACTGTGACATTTCAAGGTAAGCAGATAACAGATAAACAAGTCTTGTTGATTTAAATGAAACACCAGTCTGATCTGGTTACATAACATACATGAATCTTATCTAAAATTGACAAGCCTAGTTGATTTTTTTGTACATAATTTACAACATAATTGGCTGATAAAATAAAATAAAGGCCTTGAAGATAAAGAAAATAGATAAAAAAAATAATAACAAAAACAAAAAAAAATCTTGATATTTGATACATGTATATGTGCTTTAATATTACACCTACCAGTTTTCATATTTAGGTAAAGGTTTAATGGTCCCATCCCTCTGCAAAATGTAATACAAGAGTTCTCTTTCCTTCTCAGACCCATCACAAATGTGAACAGTGTCTGGCTGGCATACCTTCGCATTTTCCTCAACGAAATATCGGACCCTGGTAGGAAGTCGGTTAATGTTTCCGTACAGGACATCATACCGTTTCTGTGGATCTATTTTACCAGCATATTTGGCGGAAGATGCGGCTTCCTTTAAGATATGCGTAGCAAACCTGAAAACAGAGATGGTAATATTGGATCCATAATTGATTTTAATAAAAATTTCAAATACAATTTGTCAAGGCTGAAAAAGATGGTAAACTTGGTTACAATAAGTGCATGTACAATATTCTGAATTCAATAGTAATGCGCAGTATTTCATAGAGTATAACTTATAAGTAACCTGCCACATGTTTAAATAATAAGAAATATTTTCAATGAAGTAGATTTAATGAAATATAAACTTGTATTGATCAATATTTTTCTTCAGCTGTTGGCTGGCTAAATTCAACATTGTATAAATATTATCCCAATTTTCACAAACCTTTAGCATATGACTAAGAGTAATTAGGTACAAGACTTTATTTTTAAAGGATTTATATTGAATGTACATTGTAACAATGTACAGACCAACTTAAGAAGCTTTAATATTATCATTACATAATTATGAAAACAAAAGGATAAAAGGATATTGTGTAGCATATATAGTCAGATTTGTGAAGACTTATTTAACCTTTTCTATAGATAATAAAGTACAGTACAGTACATGCAGTGCTCTTGAAATGTTATTTTCACATTTTTTCCCCATGATATTTTCTCAAATATATATCAAATATCTTCATATATATTTATGTTAAATAGTTTTTTAAGATGAGAGGTGTAACGTATCCGGACATTAACTTTGAAAGAACGTGACAAATATATCAAAATGATAATAAACATGTTATAAAATCCTTGAACTTAAAAGACAACATGTCAACCTTTCATATTAATGACATTTTTTTCTTCTTTTTTTATTACTTTCCATTATATTGCAATATTAAATACAAAGTGCAACTTTTAATACTTAATGAAAATTTTATATAGTTGTAACATTTTCAATAAAATAAACAATTTTATACAGAATTTATTATCCTACTTTCACTTCACCCCTTATTGGGCCCCTACCACAATATCAGCTGTTTACGCGACGCTTTTAGTATTGACAAGTGTATACCTGACAACTTTGTATAAACTGTTTTCCTTAGTAAATCACTGAAAATCAAAGATTTTTTTGAAAACAAATTGTAAATTAAACATTACTATCGATAAATATGATGTATGATATTATATTTTACCGTAATAATCTCGTTACGCCAACCATGGCTTCGCCGGTAATTAGCCTAATGATGCACTGGCGTAGTAATATTTTTTTTACACGTGAAAATTATTTTCATTAATATCCTAAGAAAACTTAACAATTATTTTATATTAAACTGTAAGTTATTTACAAATATTGTCGCGTTATCATGTAAACCGGTCTTTACTTGACAAGTAACTGTCACAAATAAGATGACACCGTAAAACTACTTTTTATCTTTGTTGAAAGGTGTGTCGGGCAGTTTAGTTTTTCATTGGATAAACCGGTTTTAAGGTCAATGCCACGAAAGAAGGCGTAAGAAATTGAAGCACTTTCATTGGTTGGAGAGAAAATGACCTTGCCATTGAAACAACAGCTGATATGCGGAAAATACCCATGCACTTGTTAAATTAAAATTTAAATAAACATGTCAGATTAACATTAAAGATGGGACAGAAAGATTTTCAGTCCCAGTTAGAAAGAATTAACAAAAAAATTCATTTATCTTCACAAGCGGTACAGTCCATACAGTAAATAGCGAATGTTAAATTACAGCTATTTAACTTAAGTAGAAGCAGACGATATAAAAGTAAATTGTGTACTTACATATCTGTTGACTGCAAGAGCGTTGTTTTATTATCAACTCCCATTTTGTCTGTTCAGTGTTCTTTCACCTACAACTATCTTAACTTAGACATCGATCAGCAACTAGTGCTTTTAAGCGATTGATTTCCTTATCAAAATCCCAGCTCTTTTATACTTTTCCCGAGGTTTGTCCGAATTACTCATGCGGAACAGGACGTGAATAATACGTAGCTGGTTGTTATTGCATCATTGATCTAAAATTAGTCAAGGTCGATTCCTACTTACGTATAACAAACATGATATTATGGAACGCAGTCATTGTCATTGCTCGTTGCTCCTGTTGTAGGACAGTGACTGGCATTAAAGACTTTTGCTGCATTGGGTTTAAAATTAATGTTGTTGTTATTGTTTTTTGTCATGTCTTCTTGTTTTTTTACAATTTTAGCAGAAATAATTAACAAGATTTATATATGTCTTTAAACATTTTACATTTGTGACAATTTGCTAGAGTCTTCTAATAAATTATTAATATTGCCTTGGCGTAAGTAATGTCACTCAAGAAACGAATTTGTCTGCTCACATTGAATATTATGTATAATATGTTGATTAAACAAGAAATTGAATGCATTTTTAAGAACAATTAGGGAAACGAATAGCCAAAAGACTGGTATATCTGACCTCACAATTACATTTTCAGGAAGAAATTTAGTAGAGCTAGTACAAATGTTCAGATCTTTCTATTAAAAATTCAGTAAATAAAGGTCACACATCCGATCAAGACGTTCAATAAATCTTATATTGCAGTATTTTAATTTTTCTCCGACCGACGTGTTGGTAACTCGGGCAGGTCAACGACTGAGATTTTTGGACAGTTTGCAAACTATTTTGACACTAACAAATAAAATGAAAAAAAAAATCTTGACCTTGTTTGTGGACACTTACAAACAGGATTCTTACAAACAAGACACTTACAAGATAATGATAAGTCACATTCATACACGATCAAGGACAAACGTTGTACAATGTATTAAGAAAGATCTTGAACATTGAACATTCAATGTTGAGTTTTCAAATACAGATTTTAGTCACGTCTTTAAACCATAGTACGTACAAGTCATCTGATTTGAAGTGGCATTGAAACTATTACCCAGGACCTAACATTTGAAGTACATTGTACACCACTTGCACTTAAAAAATACATGTACATTGGTTTCAGTTTAAACTGAAGTAAATGCCACCTGTAGTACCTATAATGAGATCATTTTCTCTTTTCACAATCATATGTTTGCAATTCATTATTAAGTTAATCTGGGATATTATAAAACACAACAATTATTATATTATGTAATATGTCCCAGAGATAGGAATTCTAAAAAAAATCGCTCTGTTTTGATATTTCATTAGCTTAAGTTTGTTTGGAATGGACCGAAATATTTCCATACATACGATAACAAATAAAAGTTAAAAATATGTAATGTCTTGTTTTTACCAAAGAAACTGACCGATTTGTTACATTTTAGTAATTTAAGCCAAACAATTAAACAAACAACAATTTTAAAACGCGATCCGAAATGCGGACAATTTGTACCGTAACTATCTTTGGACGGAAACTAGGCCGCATTCCTATTTTTAACGCGGAAAACAAGATAATCCAAACAGTTTATTTTTAGCAAAACAGCTGATTGAAGGTTAAGGTAAACATATGAGCGTCACGTCGCAGGTAAACGTTATGTCGGTAAAGAAACTTAGACGTGTTCAACTACGTTTATCGGACAGTGACTTTTAGGTCATGATCTTGGGTGAAAATTCACATTAATAAAAGAATTACTAGTCAAAGAGAAATTACGAGTATGGGTGTCATGATTCAATGAACAATTATTTTTTTAACTTTTTTTTTTATACTCGGCACGCATCTAATTTTGCGTGAAGTTTAATCCCGCTGTTTTTCTTCTATATAGCGGTAGGTGACCTAGGTTTTTAATCAGAATCTTCAATAAACTTCTTGTTGGTAAGTTTATTTTTTTGTGTTGAAAAGTAATGCGGCCATGACCAGGCTTGCACAAATATTTGTACCGTAACCTTTGCAACCAGTATCGAGCCAGGCCAGCCTACTATTCCGTGTAGCCTGATCAGGCTCCGTACTGTTGGTAGCTCAGTTTATTTTGAAACCCCTTTAATTTCGAATGGACTGTTCCAAATCCAGTAGCGCACCGCAATAAGCAATAGCAGATACAGCTGCAAAAATCTACGTGACTTGTCACAAGAAATATGTGGTCATATCACGGCTTCAGACTTTCACCGATCGCCGCTTTGTGAATTGGTAAATGCGGTATATAAGCAGAGAAAAAATTTAATGAAAACATATACAATCAAAGGGCTGCAGCTCTATGGTATTTTCTGATCTTTGCAATCTAAATCATACTGACTATCTGTATGTACTTTCCTGTATAAGTTTATTTTTATATACTATAATTCATCTTACGCAGCGACAGCGTTTTGATTTTCTTCTATAACAGTTTGAGATTGATACATATGGAATTTTGCATGAAAAAGAAAATAGAATTGCCTCGACTAGGATTTGAACCATAGGCCTCTCACACCCTCAACGAGACCGCTTACCTCTGCACCACGGCGAAGTAATCATATGTACCTTGAATAAAAACGAATACATTATGTACATGTAATTCTAAATTGAGAATTTCCATTTCGTGTTTGCAATCCTTATTAATTTCGAGGTATTTTGTTCACGATAAACCTGTTGTTTAACACTGATGAAAATCTTCTCGCCAAAACAGTCCGACATGTATATATTCCACTACTCGACAGTCAGATTTATTTGTGTACTACGCTCTGGAGTATTCGGTAATCGACATAGCTAAAAATAGCATTTTCATTGATTAAAATGATATTCATGATAATCCGAAGCTTGACGGAAATAGCCGAACATTTTTCATTGGGTAAAAAAGATATTCATCCGCGAAATTTGTGATTGTAACCTCATATTTCTATTGACTAATCTAAACTTTTAATGCACTGTAATTCGTTAAATGCCTACATTAAAAATTATTCTTTCTTTTAAATTGCTGGTTTTTAAGCAGTTTTGAGTGAGAACTACTTTGCGTTGTTAGGACTGTGAGGAAATTTTGTGTAAGACCGTGGATGTTAGCTATGTATTTACTGATCTTACGATCAGAAAATACAACAACTAAGTAAGGAAACACGTCTGATCAAGTTTCCTGCACAGTAAGGTAAGGACTTTTATCAAATCATTATTTCAAGCACGGATTTGTGTGCTACGGTTTGTGAAAACGGTGAATTAAAAAAAGCAACAACAACAACCAGAACAACTAACTGAGCAGCTTGTCTTTGTATAAGTCTCTAGGTGTATGATTTGTGTTGCAGTTGACAAGTTTAATTGTGATTTGTGCGCACGAGCACCGCACGTGCATTGCGTAAAAACGAATATTTTTTTACTTGAATTAATAACCTTTAAAAATAGTAAGAGTCCATGTAAGTTGATTAAAATGTAAAAAGTAGTATTTTGACTAAGAAATATTAAATCACAATAACTCGGACGACAAAGACGGTTCAGGTAATCGACCAGTAAGTAAAAACAAACAACAGAGAACAACAACAACAACAAAAACAACAACATAAGGAAAAAATAACCCCAGAAGCATCGCAATGGCGCAATAGGCCTTTAATTCTGCTTCTATTCAATTAGACTAGGACTATTAGACTAGGAAAACAGCTTTTGCTGATATGGAATCCAGAAAATGGGACTGTTTAGTATATAATATGAACTTATAGAAGAAAAAAATACAATGTAGAAGAAACGATTGATTTTGTGACAAAATACTCCTTTTTACTAAATATTTGATGACAGTTTCATTTGATTTAGCGGTATTAGCTCCTGTAACCTTCATCCTATTGGAACTGGTCACCCTCTTGAAACTGGATATATATGATTCGCCTTCACTCTTGAAACCGGGCATGATTCGCCTTCACCCTCTTGAAACCGGACATTATTCGCCTTCACCCTTTTGAAACCGGACATGATTCTCATTAACCCTTTTGAAACTGGACATGATTAGCCTTCACCTGTTTGAAACTGGACATGATCAGCCTTCAACCTCTTGAAATCGGACATGATTCGCCTTCACCCCCTTGAAATCGGACAAAATTCGCCTTCATCCTCTTGAAACTGTACTTCATTAGCCTTTGTCAGCATTGTATAGAGATAGGTCTGTCTCTACTTACTTAAATATTGTATCTGTCATGTATGCGCAAACTGATAGAGGTAAAAGCTGGAAAAGTGGAGTCCAGAATTTCAGAGTTTTATGGTGTAAATAATCCGACCACACAGTCGTCTCGTTCGGACAAATGCATAACATCATAGGATGTTAGCACTGCTGAATCCAAAATAATCTTAACCCGGACAAAATTTTCGCAGAATAATCAATTGATACTTTCAGAAAGATTGTAACCTGCGCACGAGGAAATCGGTTTGTGACCTCTTATAACCGAAAGTAGGTGACTATTGAAGACGTGTTTACTGTTGTGGGAGAGATTTCGTCATACTGTGATGCAATGGCAGGTATTTCATTGAAATATCATAGGTAAAACACCGGTGAAATGTTCCATGACAGTAGGTGCTTATGCAATATGTTTTGTTATTTTTCCAAGAAACGCATTTTATGACAGATATACGTCACAAAACAGTACACGCCTGGAATGAACGTGGGAAAGAAATTATTCAGAGTTGTATCAGGTAATAGTAATGCATTTAAAATGCAACACTGGTATAAGATAATGGATAATCCCACGGGGAGGATTATCGCACGTGCAAGGAATTACCTTCTTGGATGTCACATAATTTCTCTTTAAAACTCATTCAAGTAGGGTGTCTACATTATCCAATACAAGAGAATATGATACAAGTTTGCATTCAAGACTTGGATAGGTGGAGACGGGGCCCTAAGGCGCACTGAACATAGGTCCAATGGCGTAGTAGCAAACTTGAAACATGACTTCCATATCATATTTGTGATGATTTATCCGAAGTGATTCTTTAAAAAATGTTATGTTTTTACTTTTTAGGTCAGGCAGGCTCTTTAATGATTAAAAATTCTTGTTCGCTAGAAGTTGCCGTGAACAATCCGCCATAAGGCCCAACTGAAG